GAGAACATAATTTAATGGACTTTATACAAAAAATGTTACCTTCCTGGAACCAGAAATGGTTCAACATACTGATTTTTTTAATCATCACTGGACCTTAAATAAAAAATTATACTAGATTTGAAGTGTGGTCACAATTTGACAGTACACTCTAAGGGAGGTTCTGAGCAAATTTTTGCTGACTGCACTAAGTAGAGAAAAGGTCTTTCTCTTTGACACCGATTGGGGGAGGAGACAGTAGTGATTAAGGTTTGGAGAGGCAATGGAAAACCTTTTAGATTTCAAAAAGGTAGTACTTTTTCTCCCTTTCACCATCCCACATCCTTTCAATATACCATATATGGTACTTTTTATAGGCAAACCAACTTGGATACAATAGTCATTAAATTGGATCATTGGATACAAAAGTCAGTGCTTTTTGTTTAACAGTGATTTTAGGTTTGATATTTTACAGAGAGGAGGAAGGGAGAGAGATAGAGAGCTAGAAATGTCGATGAGAGAAACATCGACCAGCTGCCTCTTCCACACCCCCTACCGGGGATATGCCCGCAACCAATGTACATGCCCTTGACCGAAATCGAACCTGGGACCTTTCAGTCCGCAGACCGACGCTCTACCACTGAGCCAAACCGGTTTCGGCTATTCACAACATTTTTTTATTTGTTACTTTAAAACTCCCTTTCCCCCAAGTTTAGAAAAATTCATTGTCTATATTCTTATTTGAAACTTACAAAGTTTTCTGGCTTGTTTTAAATTATACTTAACTGTCACACTTTTTTGTCAAAAAAAAAAAAAAAAAAGCTTCCACAAAGTGAAATGCCAACGACATCATTACCAGTTTAGGTCAGTATATTTTTGCATATGCAAGATACTGGATTGGGAGCTGTAGGAATCCCAGTGATTATAGTAAAAATACTCAAGTTTTGAAGTGAAAATTTAAGTCCATAAAGGTTTTAAGCTAAATTAAGTTATCCTGGTTGATTATTTTCTAGTTGTATCAATTGCTTCTTTTCTGCATTCCTTACATCTAACTGCCAGAAGTTGTGGGGGGCGAGTAGTCCACTTAACTGTTTAAGGTTAAGACTTCCCTAGATTTTTTTACTTTTACATAACACATACACACATATACATGTATATGTATATATGCTGATGGTGATTTTTAAAAAATATTTTTTATTGGTTTCAGAGAAGAAGGGAGAGGGGGAGAAAGCTAGAAACATCAATGATGAGAGAGAATCATTAATTGGCCACCTCCTGCATACCCCACACCGGGAATGGACCCCAAAACCCAGGCATGTGCTCCAACCAGGAGAAATCAAACCGTGACCTCCTGGGTCATAGGTCCACGCTCAACCACTGAGCCATGCTGGCTGGGCCTGATGATGATTTTTAAAAAATATATATATTTTATTGATTTTTTACAGAGAGGAAGGGAGAGGGAGAGTTAGAAACGTCGATGAGAGAGAAACATCGACCAGCTGCCTCCTGCACATCCCCTACTGGGGATGTGCCCACAACCAACGTACATGCCCTTGACCGGAATCAAACCTGGGACCTTTCAGTCCGCAGACCGACACTCCACCACTGAGCCAAACCGGTTTCGGCCTGACGGTGATTTTTTTTTTTTTTAAATATATTTTATTGATTTTTTTACAGAGAGAGGAAGGGAGAGAGAGAGAGCTAGAAACGTCGATGAGAGAGAAACATCGACCAGCTGCCTCCTGCACATCCCCTACTGGGGATGTGCCCACAACCAATGTACATGCCCTTGACCGGAATCGAACCTGGGACCTTTCAGTCCACAGACCGACGCTCTGCCACTGAGCCAAACTGGTTTCGGCCTGATAGTGATTTTTAATGACATAGGTTCTTTTTTATAATTTAGCAATAGGCTCTAATTTTCTGTAAGCTCATCTAACTAGACTTCACATTTTGCCCTTTAAACAAATTTAGATGATCAGGGTGGAAGTATAAAATCCCTTCACCTGCTATAGAACTCCCTGGTTACAACACGATAGCCTGACATTTGCATATACCACCTGTGTTGTTTTTTTCCTTTTTTTTTTTTCCCTTCCCCTTGCCTATGCTTTGTTCTCTCACTCTTGACAAAACAAAGGCTGTGATATCTAGCAATTCTTCTAATTCCATTTTTAAACTGCTCATTCCACTCGGATATTTTAAGTGCAGGTTGTGCTATTCTTTTGAGGATTCCCTTATCTACCCATCATTTTAGTTTAAAAAATACATATTTTTATTATTATTTTGTGTGTGTTTGTGTGGGGGTGTTTTAAGAGAGAGAGAGAGAGGAACACTAATCAGCTGCCTCCTGCACGTAGAATACTGGGGATCAAGTCTCTGGGTCCATTGGGCCACACTGGCCAGGGCTCTACCCATCATTTTTAATGATTTGGATTCTTAATGCTATAGCAGATCGATTGCCCCTGCCTTCATATAATAAGGCTTTGAATTGTCGCCCTTAGAAAAGAGAGAATATTCTAAGCAAAGAAAACTGAGACAAAGAAAGAAAGAAAAGGGACTCATGAATATAAATTCATAATTCGAGGACAAGCGGTAAAAGGGGACTGAGAGAAAGTTAAGTCCTTCTTTTTCAGTGGACCCTTGGTTATAATTCTTCCTGCTAACTTTATTTCTAATGCATTCTTCATGGGAAAAGCCTGGAATGTGTTTCTGACTTAGAAATTAATAACAACCTGAGCATTTTTTGTGTGAATAACTCTTGATTCTGCTTTTTAATTTTAATACTTGCATTTTGTATTCCCATAATTGTTTTTATCATCAATTAACTTTGTAACCCTTTTCTAAAATTGAGTGATTTGTGATTAGTTTCTGTGCTTCCCGACCCCAAGCATGTTGAATTTAATTATACGGAGATAACTCTTGTGACCTGCCTAAAAGGAAGCATTCTCCTTCATGTAATAACATTTCCATCTTGTATGATTTTTAAAGCAGTGTTGCTTTATATATTGTAAAGTGGATTTTAAAACATTACTTCAGTCAGTGCTTCTCAACATTTGGCTTGGTGAACATTACTGTAAGGAGTGCACATACTTTCATGCACTGAGCAGTGGCAGGCTACTCAGTGAAGTCTCCCACATTTAAGTCCTCTCTTGTTCTAGATGTGATTCTGATTGAAACGGAGATATATTTACAAGCCATGTGTTTTTACTGAAGAATAAAAACATAACAATAACCAGTGGGATTTTTTAAAATTCGTTGATTCCTTTTAAAGGAATCCTTGTACTAAAAAATCTGCTTTGGTTAACTGATCTCACAAATTTACTCATTGGTCCAGATAACTTACTATAGGAGGAGGCATGGGATCAGCGCCAGTTTACACAGGAGAAACTAGGACATACCTAACGAGTAACTTAACCAGTCCAGCTTGGGTTCCCATCTTCTGCCTGGCAGCCAGGGCTTGGTGAACTGTGTATTGTGTGCCAGTCTCCTCTCACTGTAGCTTGTTTTTGCTTCCTCCTTCAATGGAATGGAAGAGAGCTCCTGCTTCTTCTGTCTCTAAAGCAGTAGATCAAATGAGCCAGGGTCTCTGACAAAATAGAAAAGTAGTTAGCTGCTGTTATACTTTTAAGTTTTGGATGGTTATATATGGATATTAGACAGAAGACACAGTTTCTATGTTCCTCAGTCACATGGATAGGTGTCAGCCATTTCTATACAGATGAGAACAGTTAGTCCTATACTGTGTGTTATTTTTAAAGTAACTATACACATTTAGTTAGGAGTGCATTCGTTTACCTCTTTACAGGCTGAATATAACTTCTTTTTTCAAAGTTCTCTGTGTTGTTAACTGAGCTTGAGTGAAGTGAAATCTTTGAGGTAAGGCAACTCTAAAGATAAAAATGGAAAGAAGGCCTGTGAAATTTGGGAACCTTCACAGATACAGTTTTAGAGCCATTGCCTAAATATTGAAATGCCACCGTTTGTTGTTTGGAGGGATGTGGAGCTAAATTGAGAACGGGAGCACCACATCTGCCTTATTGCTAAGTACATCCACCTCTACTGCTCCCCATTAGGATTTTTATGTTGCATTCATTAATCATGGCTTAGCAGGTTTAAAAGATGACAGAGAACCAAGAGGCTTTCCTTATATGTTTGAGTGCTTGTTCCTAGCAGGCCCCATTTCTTTTTCATTATTTAGAAAGTCAAACAACTGAGAAGATACTATTTTCTAGTACTCTATCAAGAGGCAGAATATTACAATACCATTTTCATTTTTGCCTTTTAAAATTTCTGGCAAATTAAGATTCAGAGTTAGGAAAGCAGTTCTGCCTTGTGTCACCTAATGAACGTCACTGAAGCAGCAATTTTTAAAGTCCTTCACTCTGATGAGGAAGCTCACTTTGCTGTCAACACCATCAAGTAAGCAAGGTCCATTGTGTGAGCAGTAAGTTCCTGGTGTCCAGTTCTTCAACCAGCTTGCTCCTCAGTGCTTTTGATGGTCTGAACCAGTGGTCCTCTGTATGTGACCATTCTGAGGAAACTTGGTCCCAAGCACTGTGCTCACTGCTGTCTTTGTTTGGCACATGGAAGCTAAGTTTCGCCCAAGGCTAACAACCCAGTTTCCAAAAACATTTTCAGACCATGTAAGGTGAGGTGTTTTTTTTCTCCCAGATAGTTTCAGGTTTTGGGGGTCCTCAGAAACTAATTTGCAGGGAGAGAAGTTGGGAAGATATTAAACAAGTTTGTGTTTCTTCTGCTCTGTTAGCCACTGCTATCTTCATGGATCTGACACTCCATTTATCTGACAGTGCACTTAGTACTGCTTTGCCAGGGAAAATCACACAAAACAAGCCTGGTGCATCAGCACTTTCATTGTGTGCAGGGCTGAGCCTCCCTTCACATGGTCACATCCCCCTTTTAATCCAATGCTCCCTTCCCCTTCCCCAGTCCTGCCTGTTTCTGTGGCACTTACTGCTGGTTTCCCTGAGCTCCTGTTTCCACTTTGTGTTTTTTGTGGGGCCCAGGAAGCTAAAGCTGTGTGTATTTGTGGATCAGACAAGCGCAGCAAGTTAATATCATTGGCTTCTGAAGGGGAGAGTGAGGTGATGGCTGCGTTTAAGTTGGATTTCCTTCCAGAAATGATGGTGGATCATTGCTCTTTGAATTCCAGTCCCGTGTAAGTATTTTTGTTGTCTAATTTTTTATCATAAGCAGAGGTACTGGGTTGTTTTCTTTGTTATTAATGTAACTGGTTCTTTTCCTTAAAAGTAGAGACAATTGGATGAGGAAGCTAAAGTCCACGCTATTGTTATTTTATTTTTTCTAAAAAAATATATTTTTATTGATTTCAGAGAGGAAGGGAGAGGGAGAGAGAGAAACATCAATGATAAGAGAATCATTAATCGGCTGTCTTCTGCACAACCCCTTCTGGGGACGGAGCCCACAACCTGATTATGTGCCCTCGCTGGAAGTTGAACCAGGGACCCTTTAGTCCCAGATGCTCTACCCACTGAGCCAAACCAGCTATGACTATTATTATCTATTACAGTCTGATTCTATCTAATTACTGCTGATTTCTTCAAAGCTATAAGGAAGTTCTATACAGAAGAGGGTACATTTGGAATATGACCAGCGAGTGTGCTGGCTCCTGTCCCTCCAAGCTATAATGTTTTCCCATATGATAAGTTCTGAGGTTTGTTTTTTAAACTGTAGTTTTATTGCTTTAGGTTGGGTATATAATTTCAAAGAATCTTTTGGGAAGGTATTTTTAATGATGAAATTCTTAGACTCATTACAAAGGGTGTATTTAGTAGTGTATGCAGCATGCTGTCTTGCCATGTAAACTGTAATTTTGGATTTTTATTTCTCCCCCCTCCCCCCAATTTAATCGAAAATACAACATAATTGGGAGGTATCAGGTGCACCCACCCTCCCAATTAGATCAATTTTGATTGGCAATTTGCCCAAATAAAATTTGGGAATGAGAAGCTCATTAGTTTGCCGTACTTGTTCAAGAAGTGACACTGCCACTGTACACGATAACCTGGCCCTGAGTTGTAGCTACAGGGGATCTGAATTCTGGGCTTGTAAGTGACACATTTCTAACTCCTGATTTCAGCTACTTTAACCAGGCTTCAGAGTATCCTGGGACCTCAAATAAATGAGTCTTAAGTTATTCAAAGCCAAGAATGTTAAATGTCTATCTTCTAGATAATGGGATAGTTGCAAGTCTTTAAGTTTAGGCCTCAATGTGCAAATCGGGCTACCCTGGGATTGGGTGTAACTGATGTGGATAATAGATTCAGAATAGCTCTTCATGGGATAGTTTAGTGATTCTCAAAGTTAGTTGACTTGCTTGTTTGAAATAGATCCTATGCCTTCCCTGTAGTCTCCAAAAATAATAGTTATTTAGGACTTTATATGAGAATAGATAACAGGTGAAATCACAGTGAATGGCATCATAATAAAGACTTACTATATAATAAAAATATTCCCATATACCAGATACATGACCTCTAGTAATAGGACTTTATGGCTCAAATTATCTTCCATTGTAACACTGTCTCTCTCTGCTTTGTTGCTACTCGTATTCAATCCTTAGATAACAGCATTTTTCCTCAGTCTGTTTTCTCATCTTTTAAAAGGTTGGATTGATTCAGCATCCCAAGAAGGCTGGACCATGGAACATTGCATGAAAGTTACCTGGAACATAAAATTGCAGATTTTTGGACCCATGCCCAGATATTCTTATGCTGGAGTAGGGTCTAAGAATCTGTATTTTAACAGTGTCCCATGTAGTTTTCATGTACACCAGAGTTTTAGAAGTAATGGACTGAATATAGGCCATTCTGAATAGAGGTAATCAGGGAGTAGACTGCTACATCATTTTTCCCCTAGTGCATTCACATCTGCTTTAGTCCTGTATGTATGTTCACAAAAGCTTTTTGAGGTAAATTGGGCATAGACTAGTGCCCATATTTTACAGATGAGAAACTCAGTTGAGAGGGGCTAAAACTGGCTTCCCTGAGGAGACTTGGTGTTAAGCTTGGGCCTAAAGTGCAATTTTAATGATGCATCCTTATTTTTACCCCTTAGACCAGGCCTCAGCTGTCATTGAGCAAAGTTACCCATCAATTCTCATGTTGGCAAGTCCTTGGGCCTCAGTGGACACCATATACCAAAACACACACCATAGTGTCAGGAAGAAGAAAGTTCTCGAGAAAGGTGTGTGCTTGCCACCCCTTTCTTGGATTGTAAGTCCTTTCCACTCATACTTCTTCATCAGGAGGCTTGACCTCTGAAAAGATATTGCCTGAGAATGTGATCTAGCGATGTAACGGTATCTTACTTTAAAAATTTTGGGCCTTGCCGAAGCTGGTTTGGCTCAGTGGTAGAGCGTTGGTCTGCGGACTGAAAGGTCCCAGGTTCGATTCCAGTCAAGGGCATGTACATTGGTTGCAGGCACATCCCCGGTAGGGGATGTACAGGAGGCAGCTGGTTGATGTTTCTCTCTCATCGACATTTCTAGCTCTCTATCTCTCTCCCTTCCTCTCTGTAAAAAATCAATAAAATATATTTAAAAATAAAAAATAAAAATTTTGGGCCTTGGTACCTGACCCCTAGTGCCTGTTCTCACTTGTAACAATGTCCTTGATTCCGCTTTGACCGCTCTCCAGCTTCCATTGGTTCCTCTTACTTTGCGTGCACTGTAAGATGTGGTTGTTCTTCAAGGGTTGTATCTTAGGTCTTTTCTCTTAGCTCTCCCATTGCTTAAGGGAGTACTAATGTGCTTTTCTGATTCTCAGATTTCTATATGTATTCCATAAGTGTCCCCTGAGCTCTGTGACTTCGAATATCTCCACCTGAAGGCTTCCCCACGCAAAAACAATCCCTCATATTGTCTGCACTAGAATCCAAGAGTGATTGGTAACTTCTTCCTCTTCCTCGTCTCCTTGATGGAGTGATCTCCAAGTTCTAGTGTATCTCCCGCGGCCCCCCCCCCCCCCCCCCCAATTTCTCAGCATTGCCTAGGACTGGTTCCTAATTTTAGGAGTTGGTTTTTCAAGAGCTTTCTGATTTCCATATTTCCTCACTTTATATCATCCCCTAGATCAGTGTTTCCCAAACTTTTGACATATGTGTACCCCTTCTATAATTTTTGTAACACTGAGTACCCCTCGTACTCATGAGAATATAGAATTAGGCTCAGCTAAGCATGGTGCAGTGCATATCCCCACCAAACTCCGGTGAACGCGTACCCCCACCAAACTCTTCCCGTACCCCTGGGGGTACGCGTACCACACTTTGGGAAACACTACTCTAGATTATTGCCAGATGTCTTTTAAAAGACAAATGTGATCCTTGTTTAAAAATCTTGGATTAAAGTTCGGTTCTTTCAGTGAGGAAAGCCCCTCACTGGTCTCTCTAACCTATTTCTTTATTCTTACTGATTTTAATTTATAATATTTTCTTTTCCCCCCTAATATTTTATTTTTTTATAGAGAGGAAGAGAGAGGGATATAGTTAGGAACATTGATGAAAGAGAATCATCGATCAGCTGCCTCCTGCACACCCCCTACTGGGATGTGCCCGCAACCAAGGTACATGCCCTTGACTGGAATCGAACCCAGGACCCTTCAGTCCGCAGGCTGACACACTATCCACTGAGCCAAACCCCTAATATTTTAGATTATTTTATACTCTCTCCTAACTTTCTCAAGTCCTTTTTTCTAACTTTCTAATGTTATCTCAATCTTCTCTCCTCTTCCTTCTGAGTCCTTACCATTTCTTCACCACCCCTTAAGCTTTCATATCTCTGTGCTATATAGCACTTTCTCCAGCTGCTTAGGGCATTCACCTTTAATTTCTGCACATACTTCCCACTCCAAATAAAATAAAACTATTAGCCACTTTTTAAGAAAATATATATATATTTTTTATTGATTTCTGAGAGAGGAAGGGAGATAGAAGCATCAATGATGAGAAGGATTCATGGATTGGCTGCCTTGTGCACACTTCCTACTGAGGATCAAGCCCACAACCCAGGCATGTGCCCTAACCATGACCTCCTGGTTTATGGATTGCTACTCAACCACTGATCCACATTGGCCAGGTTATTAGCCACTTCCCCCCCCCACAGAACTTTTATTCATTTGCTAAAGCATTTGTTGAGTATTATAGTTGCGTCCTTCCTCTAGGACAGGAATTGTTCCGTCCACTTTAATAGGTACTTATAGTGTGTAGTATCTGGCACATGTAGGAACTTTGAGAGCACGGTTGAATGAACGATAAGTCCTGTGAGTTTTTTTTTATAATTAGAGATGATTTCAGAGATAGGCACTCCAGACATAATCTCCATACCTCAGGGAAAAGATTGAAAACCTTTACAAGCAGATTGTTAGTTGTTCTATTGTTGAGTGATGTCTTAAAAAAACCTTTATTGATAGCCTTTTCTAGTACCTACTACCCCAACTAACATAGGAAGAGCTCTCTTTATCCAAATGAAAATTACTTTTTTCCAGCAAAGACACGTTCTGTCTTGTTCTCACTAGAGAACCAGCTGCTGTTTCTGGATCCTTTTTATTATGATGTTCTTCTATGCCAGTTTTTTCATCGTACAGTATGTGAGCCAGAGGGACCTGGTAGAAGTGGGTGGTGGCTAGAGTCTGGGATGCAACAAGTATTTATATAAATGGGGTTAACAGGTAATGAAAAAGGAGAGAGTGAATAAAAAGAGTAATGAACGTGTTTGGAAGTAGTTTTTAAACAGATGTGAAGGTAGTATTTGAGGGTTTTCTTGTAAGAACACATGTGGGCTGGGCTATAATGTAATCGGAAACTCCGCAGCTGGAAGACCTGTTAACTATCTTTTATGCCTCATTAATGCTCTCTAAATGTTCTGCGCTCTCTCTGTATGTGCTACTGCCATTACTCTTCATCTACTCTATAACTTCAGTTACAGCAAGGCTTTCTTTGCCTTGTCCCTGCCCTTCCAGCCTGTCTTCTGATTCCTCACTCCTTTTCTCTGTCTCTGTATTTTATGTAATTCATATAACATACTTTTATATAATTCACATAATATACAATTTACCTCTTTAAATCATATGGTCATTGGTTTTTACAATATCCATAAAGTTGTGCAACTATCACTACTATCTAATTCCAGAACATTTTTATTATCCTATACCTAACCCTAAACCCAAACCCTATACCTATTAGCAACCATACCCTCCCTCTCTCCCCCCACCCTTTTCTCCCATTCCTAGGGAACCACTTGTCTACTTTCTGTCTTTATAGATTTGCCTATTCTAGATATTTCATGTAAATGGACATACAATATGTAGCCTTTGTGATTGTTTTCTTTCATTTAGCATGTTCTGAACTTCATCTACATTGTAGCATGACCCTGTCATCTCTAGCCACTGCCCTTTTGTCAACTTAACTCATACTATCTCTAGTTGTATCTTTCCCATTTCTGACTTCACCACTAATGGCCTGTTTCTGTTAACCAGTTCCAGGCTCTTTTGAGCAGTGCTGTGCGATAGAGCTTTCTGTGATAATAAAAATGTTCTGTATCTCTGCTGTCCTATGCAGTGGCCTCTAGTCACATGAGGCTAATGTGACTGAGGAACTGGATTTTTCCCCCCTTATTTTTTTTTAAATTAAATTATTATCTGTGCTTCTCTCTCATCATTGATGTTTCTATCTCTTTCTCCCTCTCCCTTCCTCTTTGAAATCAATAAATATATATGTTAATGCTAGGTTCAGTAAAGGTGATGTGAGAATAGCCCTGGTGAGTGATCACTTACAAGAGATTTCAGAATTAAAAGACCGTGGTTGAGCTGCTTTCATAGATTCATCATTCTCAATGTTCTTCAAATACTATTCAAAGGTAGCAGTGGAATATATCCCAAGAAATCAGAAACACCATTCAGAAAGGATATATGCACCGCGGTGTTCATAGCAGCACAATTTATAATAGCTAAGATTTGGAAAAAGCCTAAGTGCCTATCAGCAGATAAATCGATTAAAAAACTATGGTACATCTAGACAATGGAATACTACCCTGCTGTGAAAAAGAAGGAATTCTTACTATTTGCAACAGCATAAGATGGACCTGGAGAGCATTATGCTAAATGAAATAAGCAAGTTTGAGAAAGATGAATATCACATGATCTCATTTGTGGAATATAATGAACAATATAAACTCATGAACAAAAATAGATTCAGAGACATAGAAGTGTTGAACAGACTGTCCAACCTCAGAGGAAAGGCAGGGTTGGAGGGCAAAGGGGGAGCGGGCTAAGAGAACAACCAAAGGACTTGTATGCATGCATAAAAGCATAACCCATGGACGTAAGACAGTAGGGGGTGGGCATGTGCTGGTGGATGGGAAGGGCTGGGGAGAGGACAATGGGGGAAAAAGACATATGTAATACTTTAAACAAATAATATTTAAGAAAACTGGTATAAAAACTTACATTTCCTTTAATGAAAACTATTACTTTATTTAGGGTTAGATATTAAAACATGGCAAATTTGAATATGGTGATAAGTTTTTGAAATTTAAGTTGTTACTGGTCTTAAAACAATGGTAGGGAAGGTCTGATTTATTTTGAATGGTAGAAATATTTGTAGTGTAAGAATTCCCTGAGGTTCTTGGCAATTGCAGGGATAGCAATGAAAGTATGAGCATTACAAGTTTGGTATGAGAGGATTGGAGGAGTTTGTTGTAATGGTTGCAGTTGGTAAGGGAACTAACTGGTAAAGTCTTGGAAAAGTAGCATTAAATTGGATAACTTAGAAATAATGAAAATCTAGAATGATGACATCATTGTTTATGTAACTAAAAGCCCGGGGCAAGGGTGTTTGGGTACACAGGTGTTTGGGTGCACAGGTGTTTGGGTGCACAGGTGTTTGGGTGCACAGGTGTTTGGCCGGCTGGCCCTGCTGCTACCCTCCTCCCCAACTGGGGACAGGGCTGGCCAGGGGGAGGGGCCTCGGGCGGTTGGCTGGCTGCCCCATCCCCTGGTTGAACTGTTCCAGGGGCAATTTGCATATTAGACCTTTATTATATATAACAATCACTTGTTAGAGTTTAAGACGCAAAACTGTTTTGGTCAGGGCACCAGAATTGAGCACATGAGACATATTCAAAGACCCACATTTTTATCAGTCCATAGCTTAGGCCTTGGAAATCAAGTGCTTCTGTTCTGATGTCTACTGAAAGAAAACTTTTAAAGTATCATTGTACTATTGGAGTCCTAAATCTTAAAATTAATAGTTCTTTGTTTATTTTATGGACATTTAAAAAACCCTTTGTTAAAAGCATTAAAATTTGCTTTAGAAACTCTGCCTATTAAGTTCTTCTGAGAATTCTCATGCTAGATAAAGAGTAAGTGACACTCAGTTTCTTAATTACAACCTAGGATATCCTCAGAGTGGCAGCTTTAGTTTGGGATCTAAATCTAATGCGAGGGGTGACCGTTGTGAGGGAGGACCTGGGAACCCTGGTAAATTGAATAGAAGTCATGAAAGGAAGTAGGACCCCCCCTCCCCCATTTTCCCAGGAACTAGTTGAGATCTTTAAAGGAAACAAAACTCCCTCTAGAGAGCAACATGAATGCATAATAGTAGTTTTATTTTATCTAATGCAGCTCAAAGAAAATGAACGGCACCCTGGACCACCCAGACCAACCGGATCTTGATGCTATCAAGATGTTTGTGGGCCAGGTTCCGAGGACCTGGTCTGAGAAGGACTTGAGGGAACTCTTTGAACAGTATGGTGCTGTCTATGAAATCAACGTTCTAAGAGATAGGAGCCAAAACCCTCCTCAGAGCAAAGGTGAAGATTTGGGTTTTATGTGCAATTTTTTGTCATGTACATACTGTCTCATTGTCAGAATGATCCTATGGTCATATTGGGAGGGGGGAATATGTTCTTTTACAGTCCCTATATATTCCAGGCCAAACTCATTTAATGACTTAAAAAGGAAACATGAAAGTGACTTCATGAGGTTGATTTGTAATTTGGATAGTCCATTTAGTAAGCTACTGATCACATAGGGTTTTCTTTAGTGTTTTGGCTTTGGCAAGCAATGCTAACGGGAGGGGAAGGCCATGGAAAGAAAAGACCGTCCCTGAACTCATGGGTTTCTGTTAATGTGTGTAAAGGCCTTACAGGATGGCTTAGCATCTAGGAGAGCCTCTTTTGTAGATAACTTGTTTGCTATAGCTTATAAAATGAACAGGAGAAGAAAGGTTGAACTGCTTCCAGATATATCCCACAGAGTGGAAGTTTCACAGGACTGATGGTGATAAGGCATAATCTTTGCCCCTTCACAGAGACATACTCTTATTTTTCCAAGTGACTGACTCAGAGTAATTTTCAGTGAAAGCTGTTCTACAGTGCAAATATCAACAAGTATGATTGCCATGTTTGTAAACCGGTTTAATAACAGGATCTAGAAGCAGAGGGATTAATTTTTATTTTTGGCATAGTTAACGAAAATACAAATTATTGTAGTTTCAGCTCTGGCTGGGTAGCTCAGTTGGTTAGAGTGTCATCCCAATATGCCAAGGTTGCAGGTTTGATCCTCGTTCAGGGCTCATACAGGAATCAACCAATGAATGCATAAATAAGTGGAACAATAAATTGATGTGGTCTTCTCCCCCCCCCCCCCCACCTGCTTACCCTCTTTCTCTAAAGTCTTGTATTTTCTGAAAATGACTGGCAATATAATGTGCAGTAATTTAAATCTTAATTGCAGAGTAATTTTTAAAGACATCTATATTGTGTCTCTTGGACTATGGACCCAAGATTTACAAAATATACCTCCTCCCTCCTATCCCCAGCAAAGATAAGCACAAAACTTACAGATCTCAGTCAGCACCATGTGATGCTAGAAACTTAATATTTGATGGGAACTAAGAGTCCCCCAGAAAAGATACTAAGAAATTTTATAGTTTAAAATGATAATTATGTTTGAGGCATATGATAGAAATTGGCTACAATGTAAGGAGTGGTTTATTCTAAAAGAGAAAGTTTCTGAAAGATGAAGAGCTTCTGAAAGACGAAGAGCCGCAAGTGTTCAAGGCCCCTCTTTGTCTTGTTTGTATTGAGTTCTAGCCCCGCACACTGCCTGATAAGGGTAGGTTGAATGACTTGGTACTGTGATCTTTGTAAGGGAAGTCATCTCTCCCAGAGATGTTATAGGAGCAGCTAGAGAAGAATTTTAATATCAATATAAACGAGAGACTATAACAGTAAAGAGAATGCATAGGAAAAAAAAGTTTTTTTTCCCCCCCTGCTAGGTATTCTCTCTAATTTTAATAAACATTATCTTTTCTTCTTAAGTTCTAATATATGGTGGAGCTAAAGTAGATTTACAGTTTGGGGAATAATGCAATAAATACTAATGATGCAAGAATAAACTTTTGCCCAAACCCTGTATGCCCAGGAAGTACTGAGTGCTCTAGGAATTCTCTACTTTCAAAGGACTGGTTTGATTTGTGAAATCGTCTTTATTGCAGGGTGCTGTTTTGTTACGTTTTACACCCGCAAAGCTGCATTAGAAGCACAGAATGCTCTTCACAATATGAAGGTCCTCCCAGGGGTAAGAAAGATCCTACTAAGTGCAACTGTGGTGGTATTGACACATGGAACATACTTACATGTATTAGATACACATTGAAAACCATTTTGGGAAAAGGGTGACTTTCACAAGAATGGATATAAAGGGAACTTTTAAAGATTATCGGCTGAAAGTAGTTCTTTCTCAGCCAAGAGAATTTTTACTTCTTGATTCAGAGTTCTATCCATTCTGATACTTTGTGGGACAAAGGTCATGAAGCAAGTGTGAGTTCAATAGAACTCTCATGGGCTCTAGTTTTGGTATTCCTTTAGAATCCTCATTTATATTTCTGCTTCAGTGTGTACAGTGGTAATATTCACATCTTCTCCTTTTCAGATGCATCATCCTATACAGATGAAACCTGCCGATAGTGAGAAGAGCAATGGTAAGCAAGCATGTAGGCCCTCCCTTTATCAGGTTTTTTTCTAGTTTGTAGTTCTCTTGGCATCTGATTGCATTGTACTCTGAGTAATTTCTTTTTGAGGTAGAAGTGACATAGAGCATTATATTAATTTCAGGTGTACAGAATAATGTTTTGATAAATATTGTGAAATGATCAGGCTAGTTAAAATCTTTCACCATACATGGTCACAAAAATTTTTTCTTATGATGAGAACTTTTAAGATCTACTCTCTCAGCACCTTTCAAATATGTAGTATAGCATCAACTGTAGTCTCCATGCTACACCCTACATCCTCATGACTTATTTACTTCATAACTGGAAGTTTGTACCCTTTGGGCCCCTTCACTGGCAACCATCAGTCTGTTTTCTGTAGGAGTTTGGGGTTTTCTTTTCTTTCTTTATTTTATTTTTTAAGATTCCTCATAGAAGAGAGATCATACTGTATTTGTCTTCTCCTGTTTGACTTATTTCACTTAGCATAATGCCCCAAGTTCATCCACATTGTCACAAATGGCAAAATGTTATTCCTTTTTATGACTGAATAATATTTCTCTGTGTGTGTGCATGTGCCACGCACACACATTTTCTTCATTTATCACTGTAACGTTAGTTGTTTCTGTATCTTGGCTGCTGTAAATAGTGCTGTAATGGAAATAAGTATGCATGTGTCTTTTTGAATTATTGATTTCATTTTTGTCAGATAAATACCCGTAAGTTGAATTGCTGGATCATATGGTAGTTCTGTTTTTAATTTTTTGAGTAGCCGCCATACTGTTTTCTATAATGGTTTCACTAATTTACATTCCCACTAACGGTGCACAGGGTTCTTTTTTCTCCAATCTTGACCAAAATTTGTTCCTTTTTTGGCTTGCTTTGTTTTTGTTAATTCTTTCGCAAGATGTTATTCCCATTGATAATTCTTTAGAGTGCAAGGGAGGGCGGGGGGGCGAACATCAATGTGAGAGAGACACATCTAGTAGTTGCCTCACACACATTCCTACCGGAGCCGGGGATAAAACCTGCAATCCAGGTACATGCTCTTGAATCCGCGGCCCTCCGGTTTGCAGAACAACACTCCAACCACTTAGCTGTGCCAGACAGTGCCCTTTCTTAGTTTGTGATAATAGCCATTCTAAGGGATGTGAAGTGATACCTCACTGTGGTTTTTATTTGCATTTTTCTGATGACTAGTATTTTCTCTCATTTTATAGGTTGCTTTTTCATTTAGTTGATGATTTCCTTTGCTGTGCAGAAGATTTTTGGTTTGTAGTCCCGCTTGTTTATTTTTGCTTTTGTTGCCTTTACTTTGGAGTCAGATCCAAAAAAGGCATTGCCAAAACTGATGTTAAGGAACTTACCAAGTATGGTTTTCTTCTAGGAGTTTTATGTTTTCGGGTTTTATATTCAAGTTTAATCCATTTATTTAATTTTTTAAAAATATATTTTTATTGATTTCAGAGAAGAAGGGAGAGGGAGAGAAAGCTAGAAATGTCAGTGATAAGAGAGAATCTGTGATTGGCTGGCTCCTGCACACTCCACACTGGTGATTCAGGTTGCAATCCAGGCATGTGCCCTTGACTGGAGTTGAACCCAGAACCCTTCAATATGCAGACTAATGCTTTATCCGCTGAGCCAAATTTTAGTTAATTTTTGGTGTATTGTATAAGATAGTGGTTCATTGCTCTAATGTCATCTAATAAATTGTCTATTTTTTTCTTTTAAGTATGGCAAATAACTGAGATAAATAGAGTTGATAGGGAAAGATTACAAGAATTTTTTATAGTGAACTGGAATGTCTTTGGTCAGTATAATTTCTTATGAGTAGAAGTAAACGAGCAAGTTAGGAAGGAGAACTTAGTCCTCAAAAGAACAGTCAGGCCCTAACTGGATTGGCTCAGTGGATAGAACGTCGGCCTGCAGACTGAAGGGTCCCAGGTTCGATTCCTGTCAAGGGCATGTACCTTGGTTGCAGGCACATCCCCAGTAAGGGGTGTGCAAGAGGCAGCTGATCGATGTTTCTAACTCTCTATCCTCATCCCTTCCTCTCTGTAAAAAAATCAATAAAAAAAGAATATTTTTTTAAAAAAGGACAGTCTGAAAAGGAAAGGATATAGTTAAACTCTCTGTAAGGTGTGTCCTGTTTCTCTCATCATATTAATTAAATGTGCAAACTCATTTTATGTCATAGTATATTACTGAGTGGTAGGCAAGAGCCTAAGAACTGTGCAGTCAACCATATTTACCTACTAGTCAGGTGAGGAAACAGGCACAGAATGGTTAAGTAACTTTCACAAGCTAATAAAACTACTTCATTTCCTCTTAAGTGCTTTTTAAAAATATATATATTTTATTGATTTTTACAGAGAGGAAGGGAGAGAGATAGAAAGCTAGAAACGTCGATGAGAGAGAAACATCGACCAGCTGCCTCTTGCACACCCCCTACCGGGGATGTGCCCGCAACCAATGTACATGCCCTTGACCGGAATCGAACCTGGGACCTTTCAGTCCGCAGACTGACACTCTACCACTGAGCCAAACCGGCTTTGGCTCCTCTAAGTGCTTTCAGTGATAATGTTAAGATACCATTGTTTATAAGAGGAGGTACTCACTTATGGGGGGAAAGGTACATCATATAATCTGTGAAATATGGTATAAAAGCACCAGAGCCAGGTCTCAAACCCAGAGTGTGTGCTCTACTATCTCTTGTAGTAATAATGTTCAAGCCTTCTGTGTTTTACTCTCTTAGCAGTGGAAGACAGGAAGCTGTTTATTGGTATGATTTCCAAGAAGTGCACTGAAAATGACATCCGAGTCATGTTCTCTTCATTTGGACAGATTGAAGAATGTCGGATATTGCGGGGACCTGATGGACTGAGCCGAGGTGGGTACATTTTTAAACTTTAAAGATGCTCATCTTGTCCTGGGTGGGTTAGCTCAGTGGATAGAAAGTTGGCCTACGAAATGGAGGCTCCCAAGTTCAATTGGGGTCGGTGTGGGAGGCAGCCAATCAATGATTCTCTCTCATCATTGATGTTTCTGCCTCTCTTTCTCTGAAATCAATATTTTTTTTTTTTTTTTTTTTTTTTTTTAAGGATACTCATTTTGCCCTGGTCTGGGTAGCTCAGTTGGTATGAGTATTGTCCCAATATGCCAAGATTGCAGGTTTCTTTTTTTTTTTTAAGATTGCAGGTTTCATCCCCAGTTGGGGTACATACAAGAATCAGCCAACTAATGCATAAATAAGTGGAACAATAAATCCATGTTTCCCTCTCTATATAAAATTTATATGCTTATTTTGAATTTGGAGTTGTTTTTAACCTGACCAGTGGAAACCAGTAATCCCTAGCCAATATGGCTCTGTCATGATGGAGAAGTTGGGCTTGAAGTTGTATGTGTAGGTCCTGTCACAACTCTTCCTTAATTTGATCCCTTTTGTGTTCTCCCAACATCCTTAAAGAGTTTATATTCTGTTCTTAGGTGTCATGTATCAAAATTCTCTCTTTTATGTTTAGAGAGGTTCTTGATGTTAAAATGGAAACACTTTCTTCACAGGAGAAACTTGAGGCTATGAATCTTCCTTTGTTTTTTGAGCACTTTGTTTCTTATTTCTGCTTCCCTGCATTTTCATTAGAGCACTTATCACTCTGGTGTAACATAGCTCTCTCTTCCAATAGATCATGAAACCCTGAAGGCAGGAATCATCTATACTTAATGCTAGCATGGTACTTGCTCATAGTTAAGTGCTCAGTTAATGTCTATAAGTAAGCGAATGAATGAGTTATTGACCCCTCTTTTACCAGGTTGTGCATTTGTGACTTTTACAACAAGAGCAATGGCACAGACAGCTATCAAGGCAATGCACCAAGCACAGACCATGGAGGTAGGAAGATGAATGCAAGGGGGATTCCTTAGCCTGAGAGTGCTAGGAGTTTTGGTCTTCCAAGCCCAGCATCATGTACGGCATCTGGTGGTTCTAAAAGTTAAGCAGGCCAAATGTCTTAAAAGTTAAAACAAACAAACAAAAAAAGTCTTAAAACTTTTTTTAAAAAGTTAAAAACTGAAGGTTTCTTTAATATATTGGATGTTATTAAATGAAAGTTAAAATTAACATATTGGAACGAGTTGCCCTTTTAAATTGTCTTTTGCCACTTACATGTATTAGGAAGAGAGTCATTTGGCAGTGAATGAAATTAGAATGCAACCTGTGTGTCACTAGCAAGGATTTTTCCTTCACCTAGAAGGAGGGATTTGACCCTTTGGTTTTGGTGTTTTCATAGGGTTGCTCATCCCCCATGGTGGTAAAATTTGCTGATACACAGAAGGACAAAGAACAGAAGAGAATGGCCCAGCAGCTCCAGCAGCAGATGCAGCAAATCAGCGCAGCATCTGTGTGGGGAAACCTTGCTGGTCTCAATACTCTTGGACCCCAGTATTTAGCAGTGAGTCTTTGTGGTTTGCTTTCTGCAGACTGTGCAAGCTCCCAGCTGTTTCTTCTTCTGCTATCCCCAGCACACAGACATAGTGGCATTCACAACTTTTAGCACATTGAAATTTTATGCAAAAATTCAGGCAATGAAGTGTTCTTTAAGTCATGTTATTTTCTCTATCTGGTCACACATCTTTGGTTATATCTTGAGGTTTTGGTTATATCTTGAGTTAAAGTGAAACCATAATTTTCTGATAAAAAGTGTTTTAGGAACATCTTATGATCCTACCCTCAAGGAAAAAAAAATTCTTGAGGGAATCTTAACTACAAAATACCTATTTCTATACCTTTCTACCCAATGTAGAAGGCATCATTAAATATTTTGTTGATTCTCCCAGAAGAGTACAATAAGTGTTTCTTTCTGCTGATTGAGAGATGAGGCATGGGCATTATGAAATGAGTATTACAGCTTTATATTTGAGTTTGCTATGCTGTAAGTAGATTTCTTAATTTGATCTCTTGTTGAGTTTAAGTTATATAGTCCAAAAGAGGGGCAGGCTTCATTTTATTATTAAGATTTACTAGGTTTACAGTATTACAGGAGAATTGCATTGCTTAAAACTTTAAAGAGCCAAAACCGATTTGGCTTAGTGGATATAGTGTCTGCCTACGGACTGAGAGGTCTCAGGTTTGATTCTAGTCAAGGGCTTTACCTTGGTTGTGGGCACATCCCCAGTAGGGGGTGTGCAAGAGGCAGCTGATCAATGTTTCTCACACTAGCCCTCACCCTTCCTTCCTCTCTGTAAACAATCAATTTTATTTATATAAAATATATATATATATATATATATATATATATATATATATATATTATTATTATTATTATTATTTTTTAATATATTTTATTGATTTTTTACAGAGAGGAAGGGAGAGAGATAGAGAGCTAGAAACGTCAATGAGAGAGAAACACTGACCAGCTGCCTCCTGCACACCCCCCACCGGGGATGTGCCCGCAACATACATGCCCCTGACCAGAATCGAACCTGGGACCTTTCAGTCCGCAGACTGACGCTCCACCACTGAGCCAAACTGGTCTCGGCTATATTATTTTTTTTAAACACACTTTAAAGAGATTTAGAAAGGACAGCATAATTAAAACTGTGCTATCTGTAAATCAGAACGAAAAGGTCATCTGTAAAGCTACCAATGAAGGAAAATAAATAGTGAGACCACTAGATGTATATGAATAGTCAATACACATAGGATAATAATAGTCATCCATTCAAAGATTATTCTCTGTGGAAACAACAAAGACAATGATTTCTGCCCTCCCAGTACTAAATTTTAACTAATTTGATGCCTCCTGTCTCCATACTTCTAATATGTTAGAGGAAATCCAAGTTTCTCTGAAGTCCAAAAGTGAAGATGGTTGTTCTATTTCAATAGTTCAGATTGTTTCTTAGTGCCAGTACATTGCTTAAAAGTTTAAAAAATTCAGAGATTTTAGTCTTCTGCCAAAATGATAATTCTTTGAAAATTATCTCCATGATACACATTTACTTCTTAGAGCATTATAGAGACTTTTTTCAGGGGATAGTCCCCATCTTGTTCTCATTGCCACATCCAGCAAGTATGTTGAGAACTATGGTCTCTTTAATTTAGGTGTGACCCCCTCCCTAAGAGCTATTCTCATTTAGGGAAGAAATGAAGGGGACAAATACAGTATGCACAGTCCACCAGCTGGGACTGAACACGTTGCCCAAGGATTTAAGAAGACAAAAGTGAAGGCATGGGTGCTAATGGGCTGTGTAAGTGATAGTGCATCATCATTCATTATGAGTTTTTTTTTTTTTTTTTTCCTCTGGAATATGTGGATTGAACCTGATCTCTATTGGACCAGAGTGGTGGCTTTAAAATTTTTTGGGTCTTGTGGACCCCTTTTAGAACCTGATAAAAATCGTGTACATGTGCTTTTTTTTTTTTTTTTCCTCATCCTGTTTCTGGAGGTTTGAAGATCTCCTGAGACCTATGGATTAAAGGGATCTATGATAGAGAAACCAAGTCAGATGCTTGTAGGAATGGACAACAGGTTGAATAAAGGATCTAGAAACAAGACTACCAATTATTCATAATGAACAATATTGCATTTGAATGGAGCAAAGGTTTTCAGCAGGTTGGTTAGATGAAGATTATGGTTTAGTAAGATACAAAAGAAGATCAAGGTCATGGGGATCCATAAGCTCATGGACAGGTCCTCTTTTTACATTTATTATGGACATCCATTGAAAGAATACATACACTGAACTGATAAGGACTACTTCATCAGTCATTCGGCCATCTGCAGCAGTGAAGATCAATTTGGAGGGGAGTAGATAACTGGGCTCGATGGACGTTTAGCATGGGAGAGGTTGATTTAGTCATGGGTCTGTTGTGGCTGGTAAAGTGTGATGCTAAGAAATACCACGAAATAGGGAGATGTTATATTTAAAATAGTTGTTTAAATATAAATTGGGTATCCAGGTGGAAACAATCTACAAAATAAGATGTGTGGACGTAACTAAGGAGAACTTGGGATAGAGGAAATAGAAATGGCAGGCATCCACCCACAGACACTCACCGTGGTTGTTTACAGAGCTGCTTGAGTTGAGCTTAGTTCCCTGCTCTACTTCTGTCCTCTGCTGTGCTGCATTCTGTTGCCTAAGCACTTGAGCTTGGCTCGGAACTCAATGAGCATTACTGTCTTCTGGGCCAGGGCTTTAGCTGTGTTGTATTACATTGTGCTGTCATAAGCCTTATGTTTCTGTTGTGTTGGCTTGGGTTCTTGTCTTCAACATTCTTCTCTCTCGGGGCCTCTGCACTCTCGCTTTGCTGTGCTGTAGAGTTATCCCAGATGCAGAACCAGCCCTCACTTCTCACTCTTGTTCTGTTTTTTGGTGTAATGTCTAGCTTTATTTGCAGCTCCTTCAGCAGACTGCCTCCTCTGGGAACCTCAACACCCTGAGCAGCCTCCACCCAATGGGAGGTAAGTGTCTCACTGCTGTGGAGGAGCAGCAGCAGCCAGGCCATCAGACACAGCTAACAGCAGTCTGAGAGTTTGCTCCGTTTGTGCAGAAAAAAGTTATTTTCCACTCATGTAAACCTGGCATAAAATGAACATCACAGGATTCAACTGCCTTTTCTCTAGAAGGTCATTAGTCATTTATGCCAGATTGTCCTGGAGTTGTCTACTGCTCCCCACTCCTTTAAGTGTCTGTTGAGGAAGAAGATAGAAAAGAGTTGTTAACATCTGCAGACTATCTGATGCTGTTTTGATCAGGAAAAAGTTGCAGGAATGCTTTATTTCCACCAAAACGTGACTTTTTCAGTGACTGAAGAAAAGCCTGAGAAATACTTTCATACAAATGGCTTACCTTGAAGTTGCTAGAATCCAGGCAGTTAGTTAGTTTACCTCTGTGTTTTATACATGTTATTTCATAGGTGAATTATCTTTTGTTGCCGTTATCGTGCATAGAAAACTTAATTGACAAATACCTGAGTTTATAACAAAATGGAGCTCCACAGACAAACCTGAGGCAAGGTCCATCAGAATACTTGGGGGGGGAGGTGGGGGACAGGAGCTCCCCCTGCCCCTTTGGCAGTGGGACAAGGCCAGACAAGTGCATTTGAAATTGGGGTGGTCTTAGGTGAACTGCATTTATCATATGAAAAATTTTGATAGTGATTCACTTTTCCCCAAGGACTGAGAAAGTTGATAGATTGTGAATCTGTGTTGTAGTTTTTATTCTCATTAATTCTTCCCTCCACCCTTCTGCCTTTCTGTCATCTACTAAATGGTTTGAAACACATTGTCAAGTTTCTTCTCCTTTTATTGTTGCCTAGGTTCTACTTGGAAGTTTTTCCCTCGGTGTGTTTTTCTCTCTTATAACTAATCTGCTATTCAAGTGGTGTGTTTTTTTGTTTGTTTTTTTATTCTTTGTCCTCTTGCTATTCTCCCATGTATTCTCCCCTATCGTTCCTTCCTTTCTGGGTCTCTGCTACATTTTCTGCTTGTTCACCTCCATTTCAAAGAGCACATCCCCTGTGAAGTCTGAGTGAGGGGCTCGGATGCAGTCCCATTCTATGCCACAGGTATGGGCATTGTTGTCCTCTTGGACACCTGAGCCCATGGCAGACCATGACCCCCTTTGCTGGTTTCCTGATTGCCCATCCTTTTAGTAGTAGCTCACGTTGGGGGTATGCTATTGAATCAGATACCTCTTCTCTGAGGAAATGATACCAAACTTCATAATGAGTTGAGGAGTATCTGAATCTTTTTGGAGCCCTGAAAAGTTGCTTGTAAGGCTTCTCTAGAATATTTCCTCTTTGGAATTAGCCTTCCACTGGTGTGAGCTGTTGTTCCCGGAGCGGATAAGGAGGCACTCTGATCTGCCTGCTGATCTCTTGCTTTGGATGTTGCAGGGTTAAATGCAATGCAGTTACAGAATTTGGCTGCCCTAGCTGCTGCCGCTAGTGCTGCTCAGAGCACACCTAGTGGTACCAACGCTCTCACTACATCCAGCAGTCCCCTCAGCGTACTCACCAGTTCAGGTAAGCATGTAGCGGGGGCCAGTGGGCCCTTGTGAGCCTTGGGCAGAATCCCAAGAGGGGTATGTCATTCTGAGAGCAGTTCATACCCATTTCCAAAGGGGACAGATTATGAACAACAAATTTTCAAATGCCATCTTCTAACTTTAGACATAGTTCATAATTTTTAATTTATTGTAATTATCATTTGTTTTTATGTCCAACAGGGGCAGTTATTAAAATTAGTAACTGAAAACTTTTTTCTAAGAGAATACTTAAGTAGTATAATTCTTGGGCTTTGATTCCTGCTGAGAAGGCAAATGTTGGCTTGAGTTTAACTCATGGATTTCTGGTTGCAGGGTCTTCACCGAGCTCCAGCAGTAGCAACTCTGTCAACCCCATCGCCTCCCTTGGAGCCTTGCAGACATTAGCTGGAGCAACGGCAGGCCTCAATGTCAGCTCATTGGCAGGTGAGAGGCAGTCCATGGATGTCATCAGGCCTTTCTTTGTGCAGGTAGCACATTATAAACAACCCTGGTAAGGGTACTGTTGTATGATTGAGTAGCCCAGTGAACCAAAAAATTAATTATGAATTGCCCTGGCTGGTGTGGCTCAGGCATCATCCTGTGCACCAAAAAGTTGCCGGTTTGATCTTCTGTCAGGATTGTGGGTTTAATACCTTGTAATGGGCATGTAGGAGGCAGCTGATCAGTGTATTGCTCACATCTATGTGAGGACCGAGCCCACAACCCAGGCATGTATGCCTGACCAGAATCAAACCCAGGACCCTTGAGTCCACAGGCCAACGCTCTATCCACTGAGCCAAACCAGCTAGGGCAACTCTCTCCTCAAAATCTTTCAAAAGACAATAATGATCATTAGTTAAATCCCTCCTCTAGCACTAACCACCTATAACTTTCAACCACCTTTCCAAGACCATTTTCTTTTCTTTTCTTTTCTTTTCTTTTCTTTTCTCTCTTTTTTTTTTTTAATATGTTTATTGATTTCAGAGGGGGGGGGGGGGGAGAGAGAGAGAGAGAGAGAGAGAGAGAGAGAGAGAGAGACATTGATTGGCTGCCTCCTGGATGCCCCATACTGGGGATTGAGCTCACAACCTGGGCATGTGCCCTGACCAGGAATTGAACTGGTGACCTCTTGGTGCATGGGTTGATACTCAACTACTGAACCATACTAGCCAGGCTCCAAGGTCATTTTCTTATCTATGACATGGAAATAGGACACTTTGAGGGTTATTAAGAAGTTAGATGAGAACACAAGTGTAAGCACATTGTTCAGTACAGAGTGGCACATAGAATATCCTATATAATAAAAGCCCAGCAACCAAACAACAGAACAGCTGGTCGACCAGTCGCTATGATGCACACTGACCAACAGGGGGCAGGTGCTCAATGCAGGAGCTGCTCCCTGGTGGTCAGTGCGCTATCACAGTGGGAGTGCCGCTCGGCTGACTGGAATGAGCTGGTGCTCCTGCTGCGAAACCTGGGCTGACAGGCAGGAACCTGAGCTGTGATCATGGCCTCCTTGCCCCAGGGTCCTCCTACCTCCTCTGGATGCCTGCAGGCTGTGCAATGCTGCCACTGATTGCACAGAGCTGACCCCAGAGGCTGGGAGGTGGGTTCATGGCCGCTGAGGGACTGAAGCCTATTCTGCCTCAGTGCTGTTGTCCCTGGGGCCTAACCCCGACTGAGTCTGTGGAGAGGCAAATGCTCCAGCTCCACGGAAGGTGCCAGACTAGGGAGCAGCTGCTCAGAGGGCTGGTCCACAGCCGCTCAGCTGACCAGGATGAGCCGGGCTCCCACAGCGTGCCGATTTCTTCAGGCCACACCCTCACCAGTGCATGAATCCTGTGCACCAGGCCTCTAGTGTTCCAGAATGTTACTGCTATTATTAATGATAGAGTTTACCTACATCTTGTCACAGATCACATGTGCCCCCTTTTGTTCCCAATCCTGGAACTCCTATTTACCAGATTCCAGCTCTGTGTGAGAAAGTGGCAGGAAAGCTAGAGAAAAGGGGGCAAGTCAGGTATAAAATGTGGCACTTCTTGCACAGATTAGAAGGTAATGGGAGAGCCACTTCTGAAGTGTGGTGTTTTTTAATGCCCCCATTAGCAACAAGGTCTGGTGAGTGTCCTGAAGCCTGACCACTCATGGATATTCCTCCTCAGGGTGAAACTAGGAACAAGATGAAAGGGAGGACTTGGGACGTTTTCCTTGGCATCATTTGAGTCTTTCCAATACTGCTAATTCTGTTCTCTCCCCCAACCAAGGGATGGCCGCTTTAAATGGTGGCCTGGGCAGCAGTGGCCTTTCCAATGGCACTGGGAGCACCATGGAGGCCCTCACGCAGGCCTACTCGGGGATCCAGCAGTATGCCGCCGCGGCGCTCCCCACGCTGTACAACCAGAATCTGTTGACACAGCAGAGTATTGGTGCTGCTGGAAGCCAGAAGGAAGGTGAGTGCAAAGGGAGGCTGGGGTCTGGCGGGGTTGGTTTCTCCCATCTGCACCAGAACTGACTGGCAGGCGAAGGCTGAGTCCTGCAGGTGGTCAGACCACACTTTCCTTTAATGGTGTCAAAGACAGACTGAAACTCGTAAGTGTGACCTGCTTTTGGGATGCTTTCTGGGTATGGCTCAGATCAGAGCCTCTGTGCACCCTTCAGTGGTGGGGCTGCCATTTTTAGATGGAAGATATATACCCACCTTCCTGTGTCTGACACACTGGCAGTTAGGAAGCCTTCCCTCTGGGTTATAAATCTGTCAAAGGATATCTTCTGGGTAGGTGTTCCTTGTAGCTTTAGCATTTGGTGTTTTCCTTACTTTCTGATCTGTGCTTTTCCTAATTGAGGACAGACTGAACACTGATGGGACAAAGTGTTAAGGCCCACGTGTTGATGCTGTGGGAAGTGTGTGTTCTGATGGTATTAAGTTCAGGAGAGGCTTTCTAGGCAGTAAGGGGTCTAAGGTGGTTCATATAACTAGAAAGCTCTGCTGACACCTTTCTGCTTGTATTTGTATTATAAGTACGAGCTGGCAAGGTTGAAGCACTTATGTGGGAGAAAAACAAGTATTCTCTCTTGCCATAACAGCATCCTCCCCTGCTCTGAATCAGGCGCTTATGTGCCCTAGAATGTTATAATAGGGTAACTGTTGGATCTATGCAGGCAGACAATAAACACAGGGTATTCCAAATGATGCTCTGTAGAATTATGGATGGAAAAGGGGATGGGGAGTGCCGGGAACACAGCATTTTATATGGAATGTTCAGAGAAGTTCTCTGTTGCCATTTAAGCTCAGTGATTTCTGTCCAGAGTGATAGGGACAGAGGAACCGCAAGTGCAAAGGCCCTGAGGCAGCAAGGTTCTTTAGTGTGTTTGACAACACAGGGGAGGTCAGGGTGGGGAATTGGCTGCACTGTGGTTGTAATGAAACTCTTTTGGTTAGAAAATCGTTGCATGGTTGGAAGAGGAAAGCATTCTATTTTTGAGCTCAGTGCTAATCAGTTTAAAATTCTTTTTACTGAGGCACAAGTGACATAAGGTAAAATTCACCTTTTTTGTTATGTAGCTCTCTGAGCTTTGATGAATGCATACAGTCATATAACCACCATCACAGATGTAGAACATGCTGTCACCCCCAGAAATTTCCTCAGGTCCCTTTGTAGTCACTTCCTGCCCCTGCTTTCTGTCTCAATGTATTTGCCATCCCTGCAGTTTCTAGGCACAATTTTGAAACCTGTTGTGTTTATAATCTCTTTCTTCCTCCCTTTCTGTATTTTTCTACCAGCACCTAGTCTCTTGTTTTATGCTCCACACGCAAGTCTGCCTATTTTATTGTCTCAGCACACCTTCCTCCTGAGAGGTCAAATTCTCACATCCCTCAGTAAGACACAGAGTATAGCTAAACATGAGAGAAGGGATCTGTTTCAGTGAATGCTCGGTATTTGGAGAGTCTGTGTAGTTCTCCAAATGAATTCATGAATCTCTATTTGTTGGGGTTCGGATGGTTTCACGGGGTGAGGGAGGATAAGCTTTCTGCACACTGGTATCTTTCAATCAATGGATGTCTTGAAGGTCCAGAGGGAGCCAACCTGTTCATCTACCACCTGCCCCAGGAATTTGGCGATCAGGACCTGCTGCAGATGTTCATGCCCTTTGGGAATGTTGTATCTGCCAAGGTTTTTATAGACAAGCAGACAAACCTGAGCAAGTGTTTTGGTATGTGGGTTTCTCTTTTGGTGTGTGTGTGTGTGTGTTGCGGGGTGATAAGAATTTTTACCACTGAAAAAGAAAGGGAAGGGGCTGACAGCAGAAACCTGGGATGGAGTTTGGGTTATTGTTTAACTCAGCCTTCAGTACGTGACCTCTTTTTGAGCGTGTGTGTGTTTCCCCCCCACTTCTGTAATGGGCTCAATGATTTCTGCCCACATTGTCTCTCCAGAGAATAAAATAAAGCAAAATACTTAAATGTATCATGTCGTTGTCAAAGTGGTAGTGTTTAGGAACCTAATTTAAATTTATGTGATATAATTTCCAGAATTCTTTTTTCTGCTGAGGAAAATTGGGATTTGAGGCTAAGTGTATAAGGAGGACTGGGAATGTCCTTGCCTGGTTATGTCCCTCACCGAGGTTTCTGCTTGGACACACAGGTTTTGTAAGTTACGACAATCCTGTTTCGGCTCAAGCTGCCATCCAGTCCATGAACGGCTTTCAGATTGGCATGAAGCGGCTTAAAGTGCAGCTCAAACGTTCGAAGAATGACAGCAAGCCCTACTGAGCGTGCTCCCCTCTGAGACTGGAGTGAGGGTCTTCTGGTAAGTTGGGGAGGAGCACCCTTAATGATTCGAAGCCCTAAGGCTGTGTGTTGACAGCCCTGGACCCTGATCCCTGCCACTCTCGCAGGCACAGCTTGCCCTGAAGACTCGGCTACTGCCTTCTGTGGGAGTTTCGCTTCGTACAGAGGACAAGTTTGTGCTTTGGTTTCCAGTGTTTTACTTTGGAGTTTAGGTGCCATATCCTGAGTGTTTTTTTTTTTTCCTTTTTTTTTTTCCCCCCCCCCTTTATTTAAAGTTTGCTGTGTTTGTAACCAGTGTATGTTGAGAAGGACCAACATCAAACCACCCTGGGGGAGGAGAGGGAATGGAGAAACGTTACAGAAGATCAGAACTTGTCCAAAACTACCCTGAGACAGGACTGAGTGAAACCAAAACTGACCCCCAGAATGTCCCTGAGTTTGAGAGTGGATGAAATGAGAGCTGCCGTCCAAGAGCTGGGGGTGGGAGGGTGGAGCTGGTGGGGGTGGCTTTGAGGAGAGAGAGGGACTTGCTGTCCACGGCCCTGCGAGGTGTCGGCGGAACTCTCCTATAGCTGCTGCTGTGGAAGCACAGGTTTTGTCCAAGATCTCCGCCCCTCTTTCCCAAGAAGGGGCTAACAATTCTCTGGAAATAAAATACCCGTTAAGTTAACCTGACATATGCGAAAAGCAGAGAGACATCACCCATTGCCAGCTGTTCCAGCCAGCCGTTGGTGTAGGGTGGGCCCTGCCAGGCTGGTGGCTGTTAAAAAGAAGCAGCCGGTCAGAGGTCAGTTTTAGTTTATTATAACAGATCATTAGACCATGGCCCCTTTCTTATGGAGTGTCTAGGGAGACACACTGGTTTCCTTCTTTGTAGTTGACCACAGCAAGGAGTGTCATTTCATCCCAAGCTACTGTTTTATCACGAAGGCAGAACCAAGAAGGGCTGACAGTACCTGGCTGAGGGGGCACTTCTCCTGAGCAGAGTGATCAAAAGCCATCTAGTGGGGGGAGAGGAGCCTGCTTCTTGGTGCATCTGCATCAGAAGGTCCCTTCAAGCTAGAGTACTTCATTTGCCAGAGGCCAGCCAACGCTTGGTACTTAAAAGGACTGAGAAATCCATGCTTGTCTCCTTGGTTGAGGTGTCCCAGATGTAGTGTTTTCATCAAGGCAGTCCCCTCTCCTAAGCACTCCAGCCCTGTCTTCTTCTCTTGGGGACAGAGGGGACAACAGGACGTTTACAGCCTCCATATGGATTTAGTATTTATTTACCTCAGTATTACCATGTTCGTTTTTGTCCATGTGCTTACCGTTAGCTCCCTGCTGCCTCCCACAGGTCTTATTCCAGCTCTTGCCTGTGATCTCCCCAGCCTCTGGGCTCTGCCTCTGCTCCAAGAAATACTTGGGAGTGGAGAGCCAGGAAGGACATGCTGTTGGGAAATGCACTTGGACCCAGGTAGTCCTGACTTGTAATCCAGGCCAGTGACTGGGTCCCTGCGATCTTAAATTCACAGACATCAGTCCTGACCCCCAGCAGCAGAGATGAGATCAAAGGGGTTGGTTTGCTAATAAGTTGAGTGGGGACTCTCTCCTTGTCATGCTGTCCATTTGGGTCACAGACAGGGATTGGCCATCTTGCTGTTGTACAGATGTCTGGGTTATCCCACTGAAGCTGGGACAGCTGTTCCCTTCTCATAGTGATAATTGGGTCTGTTGTCCTCTAAGAAACGTGAAAACTTCTTAAGCTGAACCACGTAAACTTGAATTCTGCGCACTGGGTGAAATGTGTCCTGTGTTTCAAGGATAAAACTGTTCCAAAGGCTTCCAGGGTCGTGATGGGATTTTTTAAATAAATGCAAAAAATAAAATAAAAAAGAAAAAAAAAAATGCTAGGTTGGGGAGGCGCTGTTCTGAATCCCAACCGGCCGGAATTAAGAATGTTGTTTCTATTTTTATAGAAGTTTTATACAGCTCCGGGGTGGAGAATATTTATTACCTAAATTATATATCTCTGGAAAAGGCCAGGATTTTGTAGAATCCAGAATGTGATTGTTATACACACAGGGTGCTGTGTATGATTGAAACTACTGACTTTCTGTAGCCTGTTTGCAGCCCAGCTAATCTGCCAGAGGGGGAAGGAGTTAATGCTGTGAATTGGCGGAGGAGAGAGCTGTGCTCTCCGGGGTGCTGTGGTGCTGTGATCACTAACCTTCTGTTCTGTCTTCCTCCTTGGCCATCGTGGGGTTTTCCAAATCCCAGAAGTCCACTCCGTCCCCACTTTTTCTCCCCTCTCTCCCCCCCCATTTCACCATTATTGTCCACAGATTTGTCCTGGGCTCTTGAGACAGTTGGAAACCCCTTTCCAAATGAAAGGCAAAGGTGTGATCAGCCTGCCGTTGACACCACACCCTGAGGTTTCCGACCTGCTGTGGGTGTTCTTTTCTAAAAGGACCGCTTGCCCCAGCAGGGTCCTGGGCTGCCTCAGGGCCAGCGGGTGAGACTGGGCACTTCTGTCCGTTCTCTTCTCCTGCCAGTGAGTGAGCGCAGCAGCACTGCCCCCGAGCACAGTTTTCTCCCCGGGCCAGAGATGGTTTTGTGAAGAAGCTGCTCCCCTAAAGTCTCCCGGGGTGAAAGGGTTCAGCTCAGAGAGGAGACTCGCAGTCAAGTCTTAAGCAGTCTTTTGCTGTTGTGTGGGGGATTCACTTACATAAATGTGTCTAATCATGTAGTTTTGTTTCCTACTTGGGTTTCATCATGAAATTGATTTGCCTTGAATACATCCAGACACTGTTCCCTGGGTCCCTCAGGAGTGACCAGGGCCTGCGTGGAAGCTAAGAGCTTGGATTTCTGGGAACAAAGGCCACCCTGTAGGATTGAGGAGAAATCCTGGCCCGCTCCCCTAAAGAATTCTCCCACTCCAGGCTTCTTTCTCCCTGGGTCTTTCCCAGGGAGCTGGAGAGGCCGGGCTCCGCTCCACCGGAGATCTGACGTGTTTGGATGCTTCGGGGGAAATCCAAGCCTTAGTTTCCCTTCTGTCTCTGGCAATTGGATGTTTTCTTGGTGTCCTCCATGTCCTTTTGACTTTTCCCTGTGTCCATTGTTAGCATGTGCAAAAGTTCCCTGTCATCGCCCAGCCCCCGCCCCGCCCGCCTCCTCATTTCAGGGCTGTACACAGTGAGTGTTCCTGTTCTCTCTCTCTTTGTTTGGATGTATTGCTCTGTGTAACTCAGTGGGTCTCCCTCTTTCTGGTTTGTTTTTTTTTCTAGATTCCTGCCGTTTGTTCATCGTTGTGCCTAAAGCATGTCGATGTGGCGTCAAGTACATCGTCCAAATCCCTGTCTCTTCAGCTTCTCTGATGCTTGAACTCTCACCTTTGACCTTGTGTTTGACCTTTGATGCTGATGTGTATTTTTATTATGTTTGTTTCTTTTCTTTGTTTTTTCTTTTTTCTTTCCTTTTTTTCTTTTGTGCTGCCAAATTGGTTTTGCTAGAACGACTGCTGAAGGGGAAATATTTAAACTTGCATTTGAATATAAAAAAAATCTATTTTTCTAGAACTTCATAAGATAACCACTTGATTTTGTGATTCCAATTCTTTGTAATTGTCTTCAGAGCAGCCCTACTAGCACATACCGCGTAGTGTTTGTATTTCTGTGAACACACAGCCAGTCCGTTTCTAGGCTTTGTTTCTGTGTGCTTAGTTTTAAAGACAACTTTGAAGTAAACAATGAAATAAAAGATGTCACTGAAACCTTTGAGGCTCCTGAGCACATTTTGCTGATACAGTTTGTGGGGCTTGAGGAGACCGCATGTGTTTATTTTTGTTTTCTAAGTTCTCACTGCAGAAAACACCCGAACCCCTTTCCTTTTTGACAGCGGGCTGCAGCCCCAGCGGCCCTGCTCCTTTGGGGCTCTGCCTGCAGCCGCCTGCAGGGAGCCTTCAGACCCCGGCCCTGCCCGGGCCGCTGCCCCTTCTATGCTTGTTCCCACAGTCTCCACAGCAAAATGTGATGCTTTGATTTTTTTTTTTTTTTTTTTTTTTTTTTTTGGTTTTTGTTTTTGTATTGTTTTTGTGCTTTTGTTTGGAATTTTTTCCTTTCCTACTAAGATTATGCCCAGAAAAAACAAGTTTTGCATGTTTCCTGCTGTTTCTTCACACCTTCTTATATATCACCTTCACCTCTCTGTTTTCTATAGTTTGTGCAAAAACTGACCGATTTAAAAGGGTTTCAAAGAAGCTGTTTTAAGTTGTTGTGGGGTTGATTATTTTTTTTCAAGATTGTATTGTTTTATTTTGAAGTGGCAACTTTCTCCTCTATTGCCCTTAGAGCGTTTGCCTGTGCACTTAGACTGTCACCTCATGTGGCCTCCAGGCCTCAGCAGGGCCTCCAGGAGGCTGGCTGCTCTGCTCAGAGATGGGTTAGGGGGCGCCTGAGAGGCACGGGAACAGAGGCAGGATCCAGAAGGTGGCTGCGGGTGGGCAGGAGGCTTAGTGCATTAGGGGTAGCGAGCATCTCTCAGCCCAGAGGAAGGAGGGTGCTCTCGACCACTCAGAGGCGGCCATCTGTGCACTAAGCGGCAGTACACCTGCCGGCGCTTTTCCTAGGTGACAAGCACAATACTACAGTCTTCACACTGTTTACAGCCCTGGCCACCAGCCACCCCACACTGGCTCTTCACCGCAGCTCTGCTCTCATTGGCTAGTGAGATGGGGTAAGGGCAGGGGTCTGTTTTTTTTAAATTGGGTGAAGAGCCAACTAGCTACTGTCCCTGGGTGCCAGGCAAACCAGCTCCTTGCCCTCCTCTCTGTGGCACCATCAGCCTCAGGGTCTTAGGGGTTTGTGTAAGAATGTGAATGGCGGAGGAAGAGCCAGGGGAGATGAGGGTCACAGGATGATCTGTGGAGGTAAGAGGTTGCAGAGAGAGGAGTTTGTGCTAGATCCCACCCAGAGAAGAACTAAGCTGCTGGTGGGCGGGAGAGCTGGGCAGCAGGAGTGCTGGGAAGGGTGGAGAGGGTGGGGTAGCCGAGGGATGGGGAGGGGGTGGGGAAGGTAGAAGCACTGTTAGCACCATCCACGCTGGAGTTGGTGAAGGAAGGGACCCCAGCAGTTTCAGGTCTGGGACCCAGCGGGTTGCCTAGGATTATGCTTGAGGCCATTCTTACTAGAAGGAAAGGGCGGCCACGTGGAGGCCAGTGTACGGCAGACTGCTTAACTTCCTGGAAGGGCGAGTGGATGGAAGGAGGCCAGGAACCCAGCCTGAGCACTGCCGTGCCCCTACAGTCTGACTGCACAGAGCCGCCTCTGTTGGCAGAAGGCGCTGAGGCTCCCCTTCCTGTGTATTCAGATCCGTGTTTGCCAATATATTTTGCTTTTAATTCCAAGAGGAGCTCTGGGAAAACCTGTGGATAAAACCAAATGCCAAACGTTGGACGTTTCCTTTTCTTTTTCTCACTGATTGTTTTAATTGTTCTGTGGTGGTTTTAATGGATTTGAGACCCTGGAGCGGCAGCTGCCTTTCTGATTTCCAGCTGCTTTTTGTGAATAATTTAAAAAGAAAAAAAAAAGAATCTTTACATTTTGGAGACAAACCTGTGTGAGTTTTTTATTGGTACAAACGTTGTATTTAACACTAGGGGTTTTGTACAGTTTTTTGCCTTTTCTACTAGAAAACAATGTAAAGTGATTTCACAATGTGAAGAGAAAAAATTGCCACTATGACCAAACGCACAGTCTGTTCTGCAGCAACAACGGGATTCAATCAACTCAAAGTCGTGATTCAGCCGTAGAAATGCTTTTCCTTTACCTTGTTTGAGCTTTTCCTTTCTTCCCTGTTTTGATTTGCAAAAGAAAATGTCTTTTTTGTGTGAACTTGTGTTGTACTATGTAGAAAATTATGGATTTTACTTTAATGGTTTAAAAAAAAAAAAAAAAAAAGGCAAGAAGAGCCCTTGTCGCTTTTCTGACCTGATCACAGTTTGTGTAGTGGATTAAAAAAGAAAAAAACATTGTTAAAAGTTTGGAGCAAGGGAGTATGTGTTTAAAATGAATCTCCTTTTTTTGTGTGTTTTTCCTTTTGTCCCAATGGGGAACCTAAATCTGTTTTAATTGCACAGACACACGGACAAAAAGTCATTTTGTATCTGCCAAGTGTGGTACCTTCCTTTGTTTATTTGCTATTAAACTGTTTGAGAAGAACTGGTGTTGTCTTCAGAGTTATTGGTGGTTGGGACGGGCGCTGGGCTGGAGGGGTTGTTGGCATTCCTGGGGAGGGTTGGGTGCCTTGATAAGGTTTCCTTTTGATGTTCCTGTCTGCAACCAAACCCACAGAAGCTCCTGAGAGGAGCTACCTTCCCCGTCTCCCTCTCTGTTTTTGCATCATCCCTGCTGATAGAGAAGTGCCTTAAAAATTTTGGGGCATCCTTAGTTTTTATGCTTTTCTATTCCCAGTAGTGCTGCCACCTCAGAACGGGCCCCCCCTGTGAGTGCGTCTCTTCCCTGGGCTGTGGAGTCCTGTGCCCGGGGAAGCAGCCGGCGGGCCAGTGTGGAGGGCCGAGCATGTGGCTCTTCCTCTCGGCCTTCACTGCTGCGCCCAGAGCGGGTTGGCTCCTTTCCCCTCATTCTGACCTCAGCAAGGTCACAGAAGGCGTTTCTATTTGTTTACTTTTAAAATACATTTTTATTGGTTTCAGAGGGGAAGGGAGGAGAGAGACAGAAACATCAATGATGAGAGGGAATTATTGATTGGCTGCCTCCTGCACGCTCCCTACTGGGGATCGAGCCTGCAACACATCCAGGACCCTTCAGTCCGCATCTGGACAAACCGGCAGTGGCTACTGTAAATCTTAGATCTCTCTCCAAGTGAGGCCCCACACCTGCGCCTCCTCAGTGCTTGAATGGCAGGCTCAGCCACAGGGCCGGGAGGCTCAGGTCCTCCGGCTGAAGTCTACCTTACCTGCTCCTTCACTGCCACCCTCACTCACCGGAGGCCGGTCCTTGTGCAGCCGGTACAGCTGCCTGTGAGAGGCCAAGCCTCAACCTCCTCAACCTCCTCACAGGCCCTCTGTCAGAGGCTTGTCTGGGGTAGCGTTTCCCAGGGGGGGTTGCCCTGAAGACTAACCTATGAAATGTTGGGTGGAAGTGAGGATTCTGAATAATGAACTTGGGAAAAGAGCCTTTTCAATCGTATTCATCAAAAATGTGTTTAACTGCAAGTCTGTACTTTGTATTAATAGGCAGTAATTGTTCTAGCTGATGTTCATTGACACAGTCCAAGTACTGTGGGAAACACCGGATACACGTTGTGTGTTTTAGGATCCCCCTCCCCCAAAGAAGATCCTTTACTGAGATCTGTTTAAACCATTACAGTCCTTGATTCAAAATACACTTCAACTTAGTTGACTGGTGATGGCCGAGCTAGGTAAAGGCTTCACAGTGCTTAAAAAAAACAAAAACAAAACTCCTCTCGTGTTCCAATCTTTCTCACATCTCTGAGAGGAGCTGCTGTTCTCATCCCCGTATTGCAGATGAGCAAACTGAGGTTAGAAGAAGTTGAGCTGCCCGCTTGTTGTTTGGCGTGCCCTGGGAATCAAACCAGGTTTGCCCAGTCCGTGTTGCTCAGTGGTTGAGCATCCAACTATGAGCCAAGGGGTTATGGGCTCATCCCCAGTAGGGGGTGTGCAGGAGGCAGCCAATCAATGATTCTCATCATCAATGTTTCTCTTCTCCCTCTCTGACATCAATAAAAAAATATGTGTACATACCGTACGTATTTAAAAACCAGGTCTGCCTGCCTCCAAGTCCTTTCTTGTAACCACTGCTGAAGAGAAGTCAGTCCAAAGCCAGGGAGTGTGCTCCAGTTAACCTGTGCCATCTCACCGCACGGGGTCACACGCTGTCCTCCAGGCTCTGGCGAAAGGAACTTGGGGCCCTGCCACTCCTGTGGCTCCCTCAGGTGGCAAGTCCCGACAGTTCGCCCCCCTGAGAGCAGCTGGCTGGGTCTGTTCCCAAATAGTTGGTCAGTGTGCTCCTGTGAGGCCGTTTCCTGAGACGACTGGAACGTCAGTCCTAAGTGTTTACCTAATGTTTATCTTAATTTTTTTTATTACGGCAAAAAAAACATATAAACTCTTCTCCTTTAACAATCTTTAAGTGGACAATTCAGTGCATTCACAGTGTAATACAAACCACCTAATGTGTGTGTGGGTTTTTTGTTGTGTTTGTGTGTGTGTGTGTGTGTGTGTGTGTGTGTGTGTGTGTTTTGTTTTTAGATTTTTTATTTATTTTTAGAGGTGGGAGAGAGAAACATTGATTAGCTGCCTCCTGCATGCTCCATGCTGCGGACTGAGCCCAGGCCCCGGGCATGTGCCTCGGCTGGGAGCTGGACCGGCAGACTTGGGATGCCCCGGATGATGTCCACCCGCTGAGCCAGGTGTCACCACTGATGTTTTAAAGCAACTTGAAATGCACCTTTTCCCACTTTAACTCGTTCTGACCATCAGTATTTGTAAAATCTCCTCTTGCTGTGTTTTAAAACACACATTTGGCTGTGTGGCCACCCGTAGGTAACGAGTTCGCTGTGTGCCGAGGCAGGTCTGCGTCCCACACTGTGGGAGACAGGCCAGGGTGGAGCGTCCCGGCTTCCTTCCCGAGCTGCTGCCTCTGTCATCAGAGGGTGGACTTGGAGTTTCTTTTAAAATGGAAGTACAGTTGCTTCCAGTATTACGTTAGCTTCAGGTGTACAACACAGTGACTCGATACTAAATTCATAGTGAGGTGATCACGGTAAGCCTGTTCCCTCCTGTCACCACACCGAAGCTATTACAGCATCGTTGACTGTTCTCAGGCTGCTCAGTACATCCCCAGCCAGCGCCGATCTTTCTCTGACTCAGGATCAAGGTGATCTAGATCTAAGTCTCTGCCTTAGGACTCCTGATAGAAAAACGGAATGTTAAGTACAGCTTGAATGGCTTCCTATTATTATTTATTCAACAACATAGTTGTAAAGGGGGTGATTTCTCTTCAAAATTCACAAAAAGGACTGTGCTAAAAGTACTGTTTTTAAGCTTTTAAAACTTAGACTTGTGCATCTTCATAACCGGGTTTTAAAAACGGACAATCACCTTTTACTTTTGAATAGACTCCTCAGTACCGAGATTTTCCCCCTCCTGGTTCCTGGCTTCCTTCGCGCACAGGTTCTGCACATGCTGTGCCCACTGAGCATCCTGGTCCCTCATGGAGAAGAGCCATCGGGAAGGAAGGGAGAGACCAGGTTTGTCCCCTCACCTGTGAGAATGTGATAACAGCCTTTCAGGGGAGATCATAGATGGCTTTTCCTTGGACCTTTTCTGTTTTTTAAGCATTTTCCCTCTGTCTCGGGAGTCCCTTCAAACCCCCACCGGCCAGTGTCCAGTTTCTTGTGCGTGCATTGACTTTCTCCCGCTGGGAAAGGCTCCGGCCACAGGGAGGGCCCTTGTGTTTTAAATCAAAGTCAGAGCCTGCGGTGGGAAATGGAGGCCTGAGGTTTCCATGTTGTGAAGCTGCTTGGTGGGGATTCACGCACCACACTAGTACAGTTCGTCCACGTGAAGCATAGTCATTAGTTGTGCAACCGTCACCTCAGCCTAATTTCATCACCTCCCAAAGAACCCCATTCTCATTAGCAGCCGCTCCCCTCCCCCCCACAATCCCTGATCTCTCTGCTCCGTAGATGTGCCTGTTCGGGGTGGATCGTGGCAGCGCAGTCAGACCACATGTGTCTCCTCTGTCTGGCTTTCACTTCGCCCGCCTCCGAGGCATGTCCGTGCCTCCCCTGCTTGAAGCTGCTCACAGCAGTGGCCGGCTCCACCTGCTCCTGCCATTCCCAGCTCTTCGGAGCCTGTCGCCTCGGCCTGCAGCCATGTGTCTGCAGCCACCTGTCCCTTCCACATCTCCTAGCCCCTGTGTACAAGCTGCACCACCTGGTGCGCCCTAGTCCAGGATCTTCTAGACCAGTGTTTTTCAACCTTTTTTTGGGCAAAGGCACACTTGTTTCATGAAAAAAATCACGAGGCACACCACCATTAGAAAATGTTAAAAAATTTAACTCTGTGCCTATATTGACTATATATAAAGTAATTCTCTTGAATAGGAATCAAATAAACACAAAGAAAGTATTTTATAATTACTTTATTATGAAATATTAAGTAAACAAAATAGTGAAAAATTATAAAATTCTTGTCTTGTCTGCACCTACGGCACACCAGGCAATATAGTGTGCCGCGGAACAGCGGTTGAAAAACGCTGTTCTAGACCTGCCTGCGTTGTCCACCGCGATGACCGCCTAGCCACTGGCGCTGCTACATAGGTTTCATTCCTCAGTTCACTGCGAAGCCACATGGGCCGCCATATTGGGCAAAGAGCATTTCCATGATCCCAGGCAGTTACTGTCAGCGCTGTTCTAGACACTCTGCTTTTAGGAACACAAAACCGGCTGGTGTGACTCGGTGGTTGAGTGTCGACCTATGAACCAGGAGGTCACGGGTTCGATTTCTGGTCAGGGCACATGCCTGGGTTGCAGGAGGCAGCTGGTCCATGATTCTCATCATTGATATTTCTATATCTCCCTTCCTCTCTGAAATAAATAAAAATATATTTAAAAGAATACACAATAACTGCCACTTAAAAATTGTAGTCACTGTACTAGCCCACCAGCAATGTGGGAAGGTAGGAACGAGCACAGAGCACAGAGAATCAGCTCCTCTGGCACGCGGCTCCAAGTTCTACGTTGCATTTTAACCAGGTCAGCCTGACGGAAGTCCCCATAGAGCATGCTCCTTGGGGAGTGTCTGACGGACCCCGGGTGCCCTGGTTGAAATTCCACTGCTCACATGAGCTTCATGAAGGCAGGGACCACATGGGTTTCAGTCCCCTGGAACCCAGGGCTGGCAGGAAGTGTTCAGGAATATCTAGTGAGTGAGGAAATGGACAAATATCAGAGATGACAGCTCTTTTGTCCAAGAGTTTCCCCCAAAGGGTGCTCCCTCCCCGCACTCCTACACTGGAGTTTCATTTGAAATCTCCATTCACTCCAGGAGAAAGGGCACAGCTTACTTTCGATCCAGGTTTATAGGTGAGCCACCAGCTGGTACCCAGAGTCTTCGTAGACGCTCGGTGCCCGGGAGACAGATGGCAGCTGGCCTCTTAGAGATCCTGGGAGCACAGCCTCTGAGGCAGTGCCTCCCGGGTCAGTTCCTGAGGATGTGGGGCGGGCCGGCACCCGCTCCGCAGGGGCCCTGCTGCCAGCCAGCAGAGGAGGAAGGAGGGAGAGCCTACCTCCCGCCTGAGTGCCCCCGCCCTGCTCATCCCTGCTGTGGACCCCCAGCCTGAGGCTTATTCTACACAACGGCCTTTTTCAAAAGTCATTTTAGGATTTTTTTTTTTTATTGCAAAACATTCCAATACACTGCTTTTAAGAACACAAAACCGGCTGGTGTGGCTCAGGGGTTGAGCGGCGACCTCTGAGTGGGCGGCCTTGGGGTGTGGTGGGAAAGCTTGTGGGGAGTCTCGGGTATAACACCAGCTATGTGACCTTGGGCAGGTGACTTTGATTCTCCGGCTCAGAATCCCAGTTCACTCAATGGCAGTGAAAATACTTGCGCCAGAGGGGTTGGGAAGAGGAGAGAATGTCCCAAACGCTTGACAAATGCTCACCCACGCTGCTAACAACCCTACGCACATGTAAGTTAAAAGTGTTTCCCTACCCAGGCTGGTGTGCCCAGTGGTTAGAGTGTCCCCCTGCCTACCCAGGAGTCTCGGGTTCCATTCCCAGTCAAGGGCAGGTCCCTGGGTTGCAGGTTCGCTCCCTGCCTTCGGTCAGGGCATGAACAGGGGGCAACCAGTCCATGTGTCTCACATCAATGGTTTCTCTCTCTCTCTCTCTCTCTCTCTCTCTCTCTCTCTCTCTCTCTCTCTCTCTCTCTCCTCCCCCCACCCCTCTTTCCTACCTCTCTTCCATTCTCTGAAAAGCATTGGAAACATATACTTGGGTGAGGATTTTTTTAAGAAAAAGTGTTTTCCCATTCCACAGCCCATTGATAAACAGATGGAGATCATGCCATCACGTACAGATGGAATAGGTATGCTTCCAGAATTTTTCTCTCTATATACAAAAATATGTACATATGTGATTTTGTTCATGAAAAGGAGATCATGCCATCACGTACAGAATGTTCTGCAGCTTGAGTTTTCTCAGTTGCTCCGTCCCAGGCACCCTTCCATCTGGGTTTCTGCACCAGCCCCAGCAGCTCCCACTGGGAGAGGCTGGAGCACCCCGGCTTCTCCGAGCTCCTATGGGACTGGCTAGTGCCCGTGTGTTCGCAGCTACACACAGTCAGGGCCCATCCAAGGGAGGTCCAGGCGGCTCATCGGGGCATTGATTCAATGCCTGGTTTTCTTTCTTTTTTTTTTTAAAGTACCATTATCAGAAAGCATTATTTTTATTTATTTATTTATTTTTAAATATATTTTTTTATTGATTTTACACAGAGAGGAATTGAGAGGGACAGAGAGTTAGAAACATCGATGAGAGAGAAACACCGACCAGCTGCCTCTTGCACACCCCCTACTGGGGATGTGCCCGCAACCAAGGTACATACCCTTGACCGGAATCGAACCCGTGGCCCTTCAGTCCTCAAGCCGACGCTCTATCCACTGAGCCAAACCGGTCCCGGCTCAATGCCTGGTTTTCAAAGCAACTTCTTACTCGATCTCTTCTGCTGCTTTTCCCAGAAGCCTTCCCGGAGAGGTGATGCCCCTTTTCGACTGGGAAGCACATTTGTGGAGAGCGACAGGCTTCCCAAGGATCCTGCCCATTGTGGCGGAGGGGCCCATGTGCTGTGCTTCTGGAGCAGAGCTGCAGATGCAGGAGTGTGCGGGCCAGGCAGGAGACGCAGGTGTGGGAACGGACAATCTAAGATGACAGGTGACACCAGCCTCAGTGTCAGGGTGAGCATAGGGCACCCCTGGCCTCAGTGTCAGGGTGAGAATGGGGGACCCCTGGCCTCAGTGTCAGGGTGAGCATAGGGCACCCCTGGCCTCAGTGTCAGGGTGAGAATGGGGGACCCCTGGCCTCAGTGTCAGGGTGAGAATGGGGGACCCCTGGCCTCAGTGTCAGGGTGAGAATGGGGGCACCTGGCCTCAGTGTCAGGGTGAGGAGAGGGGACCCCTGGCCTCAGTGTCAGGGTGAGAATGGGGGCACCTGGCCTCAGTGTCAGGGTGAGCAGAGGGAGCGGCGGGGGCTATGGGTGAGACATTCTTGGTCACTGACCACGTGACTGATGGACACAGTCACAAGTCCAGTTGCTTGAGCTCCGTCTCCAAGAGGCGCAGAGAATGCAGATTTCTCTCTCAAATCTCCCAGACACACGTGGCCAACTCAGAAACCTGCCCTCGCGGGCCGGATTGTGACCCCTGCTCAGGCCCAAACTTCATTTTCTACTTTTGATTATAAATGTGAGTGTGGCCGAAACCGGTTTGGCTCAGTGGACAGAGTGTTGGCCTGCGGACTGAAGGGTCCCAGGTTCGATTTCGGTCAAGGCCATGTACCTTGGTTGCAGGCACATCCCCAGTGGGTGGTGTGCAGGAGGCAGCTGATCGATGTCTCTCATCGATGTTTCTAACTCTCTATCCCTCTCCCTTCCTCTCTGTAAAAAAATCAATAAAATATATTAAAAAAAAGAAGAAAAAAGTAAAAGGTTCATTTATTAAAAAAAAAAGTGAGTGAGGCATGGCAGTGGTACCTGACACAGCAGCTACCCCCACGCTGGGCTGTGCCACCGCCCTGGCCTGGAAAACCAGGTTATCCTGGGGCTCATCCTCTCGACTTCCGGAGCCTCTTGGCCACCTTCCCTGCTGGGCCCGGGGGGCCAGGTCGGCAGGCACCTCGCCGTAGCGCCTTTGTGTGCACACTTTCGGCCCACCCCGGCCAGAGCATGGACTCACATGTCAGGGAACGATCTCTGATTCCCAGAAATGGTGTCCAACTCCCCTTCACATTCTCCTTCTCCCTCACCTCTCTGGGTCAGCATCACGGTTCAGGGGGACCTCCAAAGACACGCCTCCTGGGGTCTGGCCTCTGTCGCTGGGTGGCAGTGTGGGCTTGGGCAGGTCATCTTACCGCCTGTGCCTCGTGTCCCGATCTGTAACCTGGAGGAAAAGCTTAGGTGAGGGCGAGTGAGCAGTTATTCCTCCGCCGGCCGCCTCTCTCTCCACCAGGGGCTGTGCGGGGGCTGGTGCTGCAAAGGCAAACCACAGCCCTGGCTCTCAAGGAGCGTGACCCTGACCCTGACCTACCCCTGCGCAGCCGTCAGCAAAAAGCTGACCCTGGGGCAGAGGAAGTCTTTCGAGGGTCAACTTTTCAAGTTTTGAAATCATCGGAGTTCCCAGGCGCCCGGAAGGCTGGGGTCCCTGACTGCTTTGGGGTGCAGCTGTGGCTGCCACCTCCTTTCCTTCCCGCCAAAGGCTCAGGGTGCACTCGCGTCTGGAGCACCAAATGGCAGGGGGGTGGGGGGATCTGCTCCCTCTTCAGCCCCTTCCCTCTGGGCCCAGCTTCTCCTCTGGGGTTCACTTCCACCCAGGGGTCCCCTTCCAGATGAGGGGAAGATCCCAGCCACCTCCCCCGCCAGAGGCTCCCGGCTGCCCCCACTTCCTGTGGGCCGGGGTCAAGTGCAGTTCCCCGTTGGAGAGTGCCCGTGGCCTTGCCCAGTCCCTGGGCCTGCTCCTCCGCCCACGCTCCAGCCCTCTGCTGAGCCGCGGCCCTGCGGCCTGGAGCCCCGAGCTGGCCATGCCCCCGCTCCCAGACTGCCCCTCTCTGGACCCACTGTGCTCGCAGTAAGTGGGGTCATCTCTGCCTGGGATGGAGCAAAGCGAGCCTGCAGCAGCTGCTTTACATCCCATTCCTCTCCCTTCTTACCATTCCTTCCTTCGCTGTGTTAACTGAGTGACTGACCACTGTCAGGCCTTGCTCAGAGGATGCAGTCGGTGATGAACGAGGCGATGTTCCTACCCACACATTTGAGTGGGGGAAGCAGACATTAAGCAGATAACCTCATTGATGAATATAAAACTACAGAGATAACTTTTTTTTTTTTAAACAAGGGTTTCAAATACCATTCCAATTTTTCTTTTTCTTTTTTTTAAAATATATTTTATTGATTTTTTAGAGAGAGGGATAGAGAGTTAGAAACATCAATGAGAGAGAATCATCGATCAGCTGCCTCTTGCACACTCCCTACTGGGGATATGCCTGCAACCAAGGCACATGCCCTTGACCGGAATCGAACCCGGAACCTTTCAGTCCGCAGGCCGATGCTCTATCCACTGAGCCAAACCGGTTTTGACGAGAGAAAACTCTTTATCAGAATGGAATATAGTTCTCTGACAGGGTAATAACTTGGTTCACCCTAACTGGGCTGCCAGGGGTGAGAGGAGGAAAGGGATCAAGAGGTGCAAAGGGCCTGGGGCAAGCAGGTCGGTGGTTCTTCAAAAGTTGAGCCAGCCCTAACTGGTTTGGCTCAGTGAATAGACCGTCGGCCTGCGGACTGAAAGGTCCCAGGTTTGATTCCGGTCAAGAGCATGTACCTTGGTTGCGGGCACATCCCCAGTAGGGGGTGTGCAGGAGGCAGCCGATCAATGATTCTCTCTCATTGATGTTTCTAGCTCTCTGTCCCTCTTCCTTCCTCTCTGTAAAAAAAAAAAAAAAAAAAAAAAAATCAATAAAGTATATGTTTTTTTAAAAATGAATAAAATAAACCTCCCCGGGTCAGCTCTGTGCCTGGAGGGCAGTTTGCCGAAGAGCAGACACGGCTGGGATGGCCTCTCGCCTGTGGACACCGGAGCGCTTCCCGCGTGGCAGGCACTGTCCTGAGTCCTGGTCAGCCTGCCCGCCACTCACTCCTCACAGCCCGGCAGCGTGGCCGCCATCTCCCCTGCCAGGGTCACGCTGCCCACACAGCTCATCAGTGGCCGGCAGAATCCACCCTGGCAGCCGGCTCCAGGGCCCGTGCCGTCCCCCACGCCTCTGCTGCCTGGGAAGCCCTGTGCGCGGGGGGTGTACCGCCTCTGGCTCCCCCCGTGTCTCAGAGGAGGGTACGGAGGCCCAGAGAGGTTGGCGGCTGGGCTGGGGCTAGATGTTGGGCGTGGTGTGGGCAGGTTCATGTGGGTATGAGATCTCGGTGCCCGGGAGAGACCACAGGGGCAAGCCCTGGGGGAGGCTGTGCCCAGGCTCACTCCTGCGTCCTCCCCGCTCCCCGAGGCGGCTCCGGGCGAGGCTGCAGGAGGGCCTGCCGGCCGGGAGGTCAGGGCCAGTGTCCGAGGCGCCGGAGAGACACCCCGGGGCTGCCCCCGGGGCAGGTGCCCGGATCCCTGGGAAGCCACCTCCCCGCTTGGGGGCGGGGGCCACCGAGGCCCGCGTGACCTTGCGGCTGACATTCCTCAGCGGCCACGTGGCCCCAACTGGCAGCGACAGCTGCAGACGGGGCCAGACCAGCTTTGTTCCCAGAGCGAGCGGCACCGTTCGTTCTCCATCGGGCCCTGCCCCGCGGGCCTGGAGCGGCTTTCCTGCCGGGCCCGGAGGGCGGCTGGCGGGCACGGTGGGCGGCTGGGTCCCCCGCCATGAGTGCCTAGAGGCAGGGAGCAGCCGAGGTCCGCCCGGGAGGGGCGCGGGGCTCCGGGGATGGGGCAGGACCAGACCAAGCAGCAGATCGAGAAGGGGCTCCAGCTGTACCAGTCCAACCAGACGGAGAAGGCGCTGCAGGTGTGGACGAAGCTGCTGGAGAAGAGCTCGGACCTGGTGGGGCGCTTCCGTGTGCTGGGCTGCCTGGTCACCGCCCACTCGGAGATGGGCCGCTACAAGGAGATGCTGAAGGTGGGCGCGCCCTGCCCTGGCGGGGCTGAGGAGGGTGGGCAGAGCTGGCGCCTCAGGCCCCCCTGTGCCCCACAGGCTAGCCGCCGAGGAATGGGGGGGAGGCTCTGAACCCACATCGGAGGCCTGGGTCTTAGATGCTGCGTCTTGGCTTGGGGTCTGGGCCTGTGGCTTTGAGCTGCAGGGGTTGGGACTCTCGAGCCGGGAGTCTAGGTCCCAGCCTTCCTGGTTGGGGTTTGAGCCTGAGTCTGTGGGGGGCTGGCTCCTCCAGGTTTGAGGCTGGGGCTGAGTAGGTGGGTGGTGGGGCTGAAGATCCAGGCTGGGGCAGGAAAGGCGGGGCTCTGGGTCTGCCCGTGGCCCGTGGCCCGTGGCGGGGAGCAGAGAGTGCCCGAGGCTGGCGTGGCAGCTCTGGCTCCGAGGCTTCGGGCTGTGAGGCTTGGCGGGCGCAGGCTGACGGCCAATGCCCGCCACCCCCGTGGCAGTTTGCCGTGGTGCAGATCGACACCGCGCGGGAGCTGGAGGACGCAGACTTCCTGCTGGAGAGCTACCTGAACCTGGCGCGCAGCAACGAGAAGCTGTGCGAGTTCCACAAGACCATCTCCTACTGCAAGACCTGCCTCGGCCTGCCCGGCACCAGGGCGGGCGCCCAGCTCGGGGGCCAGGTCAGCCTGAGCATGGGCAACGCCTTCCTGGGCCTCAGCCTCTTCCAGAAGGCCCTGGAGAGCTTCGAGAAGGCCCTGCGCTACGCCCACAACAACGACGACACCATGCTGGAGTGCCGCGTCTGCTGCAGCCTGGGCAGCTTCTACGCCCAGGTCAAGGTGGGCCGGGGCCGGGGCCGGGGCCGGGGGGAGGGCAGCGGCCGGCTCAGGCTCCCCTGGCATTGCCTCGCTCAGTCCTCCCATTTAGGTAGGGATAAGGTGGACGGGAGTCTGTGAGGGGTGACCCTTACCCAGGAAGGGAAAGACGGGGGTCAGGAAGGGCAGAGCCGGAAATCATCCCTTGGTCTGTCTGACTCTCTGGGGGAATGGGAGGCTCCTGGGTGAGGAGGGGCCATGAAACGGCCCTGCCACGCACTTGCTGTGTGAGCCTGGGCGTGGCCTTCTCCTTTCTGATCCTTGGTAGATATCCTATATAATCCTATATAATAAAAGGCTAATATGCAAATCGCTATGACATGCACTGACCACCAGGGGTCAGACACACAGAGGGAGCGCTGCTCAGCCAGAAGCCCTGAGCCTGGCTCATGGCTGATGAGCGCAGGGGTGGTGGTGGGAGCCTCTCCCTCCCCCAATGCAGTGCTAAGGATGCCCAACTGCCGACTGGACACGCCCAAGGGCTCCCGGACTGCGAGAGGGCACAGGCCAGGCTGAGGCACCCCACCCCCAGTGCATGAATTTTGTGCACTGGGCCTCTAGTATCTGTATAATGAGGGAGAGCAAGGATTCAATCATCATATATTTATTGGGCATTTACTGTATCCCAGGCACTGTTGGCCTGTGGAGCAGCAGTGACAGCCATAGCCAGGTCCCTGGCCCCATGAAGCTTGTTGACCTCTAGTTGGGGGGAGAAAGAAGATAAAAAAACAAAACAAAAAAAAACAATGAGTAAGTAAACCGCACAGCATGCTAGGAAGCTTCTTAGGACGAAGGAAAGCAGAGAAAGGGGTAAGCGATGCTGCAATTTCAAACAATTGGATGTTGCAAGACTCACAGAGGTGGTGTTGATGACTTGAAGGAGATGAGGGTGTGAGCTATGCAGAAACCTGGGAGAGAGTGAGAAAGGTGGAACAGCTGAGGCAAAGCTCTGCCTCGAAGTGGGGGAGCATACCTGGCCTGTTCTAGGCAGGACGGAGGCCAGGAAGGGGAGAAGGAGAGAGGAGGTGGGTCAGAGGGTGGGGGGAGGCGGGAAGGCAGACTGTGAATGAACTGAAGGGACCAGTGACCGCAGGCTTCTGGTCCTGAGCAGCTGTCCTTTCTCTGGGCAGCCAGGCTGCGCTTGGCCCAGGGCAGATGCTAATGCCTGGCACATATCGATGCTCAATAAATCAAAGGGTCGGTGAGTGTGCGGATAGTTCAGAGCTGGCTTGTGAGGAAATGAAGAGAGTCGTCCAGGATGACACTGAGGATTTTGTTTTCAGCAACTGGATGGACAGGGAAGCCAACCAATGAGGGGCAATAGGATTGGAGAGGAGTAAGGGTGTTTCCAAACCTTTCTTTATTATGAAGAAAATTAACTCCACAGGGAAGTCAAGAGAATGATGTAATGAATTTCCATATATCCACTTAGATTTAACAATTATTAATATTTGGCCTTATTGGATTGACATATGTTTTGTATTTTCATTTGAAATGTTTATTTTAAAAAATATTTTTAATTGACTTCAGAGAGGAAGGGAGAGGGAAAAAGAGATAGAAACATCAATGATGAGAATCACTGGTTGCTTCCTATACACCCCCTACTTGGGATCGAGCATGCCACCCAGTCACGTACCCTGACCGGGAATCAAACCACGACCTCCTAGTTCACAGGGTAGCCATGCCGGCTGGCTAAAAAACTTCAATGATAGTTGACCTTTAATATTATATCAGTTTCAGGTGTACAGTATTTACATACCTTACGAAGGGATCCCCCCGAAAAGTCTAGTACCCACCTGGCACCATATATAGTTATTACAGTATTATTGACTATATTCCCTGGTCAGTGATTTACATTCCTGTGTTTTATAACTGCTGATTTGTACTTCTTAATCCCTGCAGTGTCATGATATAAAATTATAGACATCATGATATTTTTACCCCAAAGAAGTGTAGTATGCATCTGGGGCGGACATTTTCTTATCTAAGGACACTTTCATGCATAATCACAAAACTACGGCCACACACACCATCATGAGCAACTTCATTTATCTTAAATGTCTGTGCTTTTCCCCCGAAAAGACGCCTGTGCCCGCGGCTCCTTTGAATCGGAATAGAAAGGAGAGCCACACCTGGCGGTGGTTAGTGTGTCTCTTCAGTCTCTTTTGGTAGAAAATCCTTCCCCTCTCCTTTTATTTCCCACCATTTATTGAAGAAGCCAGATTGTCTGCCTTGTAGAATGTTCCGTCTCGTTGCTTCCTCCAGGAGCCGTGTAATTGTTCCCTTATCCTCTCCTCCCTGTGAACCGCGACTGGAACAGGGTGTGGAGAGAGGTCGGTGGCCCGAGGTGAGGCTGTCACACGAGCAATGCCCTCGGCCACGTCAGAAACGTCAGAGCCACAGAGAGTTTTTGTGAGCTTATTTGAGCCAAACTGTTGACAATCGCCGGGAAGCAAACCATCCAGGGATTGAGATAATGCTCTGGAGAATGGCCGTTTTGCACCCGATTTTATACGT